TGTCTTATGTTACATGCTCATGAAATTTTGTGTCTATCTTTTTTTTTTTTTTTTAAATTATGGGTCCCACAACTTTATTTTATCCACATAAAATACTTATCTTATGTGACATAAAATTAATAACTCCCTTTAACTATCTACATGACTTTGAAATAAGCTTTATTTATTAAATGAGGATTGATGTAAACTTTTCAACAGCCAAATAGAAAAATTATGAGCATATATATTAATGAAGAAATCTTCTATCAAATGTGCGTAAATTAAATTATTACCCTCAATTTTCTAAGAATTTAAACAAAAACTTTTAACCAAACACCCCCTAAAAGTTTAGCAAAATTGTGATGTAAATGCCCTCATGGTAATTGATGTGACCACAACCTCATTTTGATGTTTTGATATTTTTTCCATTATAAAATTTCCCCTTCGAGAATTTGCATCCCTTCTTCTCACAGCCAACCGAGCCATGTTAGGAACTAGAGACGGAATACAACCTACATAACACCAGTCAGAAACATGTATTTGGTATTTTTGCTTTTAAAAAAGAGGAAATCATTTGTCCTTTTAAACGATATAACTTAGATTTTTTCAGTAATTTATAATTATATATTTCAGAGAGTACTTAATTATAATATTAAAATTGTATTTTTTTTCTATCTCTTTAAATATTATATACTGACATGAAAAATAAAAAAAAAATATAACTTTAATATTTAACTATGTTCTCTTCAGAATATATAGTCATAAATTGTTAAACGAAAATAAGTTACGTCATTTAAAAAAAAAAAAAAATCCCCTTTAAAAAAACAAAAAGAGTTCGGAGAAACAAGTTAAAGCGTGAAGCGTGAACCTGAAGATTAGCAAATCGCAGGTAGCAGTATATTTTTGCAACCTAACATTCTAGCAAGTACCAACCATGTTTGAAGTTCACGCATCGGGGTTTATTTAATTTTTATTTAAAGTTAAGTATTGGGTCATGCATTAATAATTAATTTACTCTTGATAGTGTATATTAATTAAATTTGAATAGGTAAATTGTATGTATAGATGTTTATTATACGAGTTGGGACATATTTAACTTAAGCAAAAAATATTAATATTTTTACATGACTAATATTTTTGACCTATCTAGACTCAGCTTGATCATATATTGTTTATGTTAATGTGATGCTTTATTGGAATTAGAATGAAAAATGGCAAGCATGAGAAATGAGAAATGTCATGCATGTTTTTCTAACATTTGAAAAGTCAAATCTATATGATATATTGGAAATTTCTTATTCCTTTGAAAAGTCAAAAGCGTGGTCATACAGCGCATATCAGGCGTTTATGTACAACAACAAAATTATTTGTGAATTTAAAAGAGCTATCTTAGTACGTGATGATTTGGGCAAAGTAATTATAATGACTTTGACAAAACTTTATTTTTGTGGTTTAGCGCGATACTTAAACAAGTTGTGTTAACATAAACACCAGTGGCAGACTCAAGAATAAATTTTATCTAGTACCAAAAATTTTAACATATTAAAATATTTATTATAATTATCTAAATTTATCAGAAAAAGTATTTACTATGAATACTAACATGTTTATCTAAATTATTTACTAAATAATGTCACATAACATTAAAAATATAAATAAACAATTGTCAATAATTATATGGAAAATGATCCGTTTATAAATTTTTTTTGAAATTTTTTACAAATTACACAATGTTCTCCCGGGAGAACATAGTGTAACGAGTGTTCTCCCCGGAGAACATAGTGTAGTTTGTAAGAGTTTGTAAACAAAAAAGTTTGTAAATATAATCTGCCCCTAATTATATATCAAAGCAAACATAAAAATAAACTAACCTTTCCAGTAAGCATTTCAAACACAATCATTTCACTTTCCTCCAACAACATAATAAGTAGGGGTGTGCAAAATAATCAAAAAGTTGAACCGAATCATTAACCGAATCGAACCGCCCTTAAAATAACCGGTTTTTAAAGAACCAGTTCATGAACCGAAACGATTTTTAAAGAACTAGTTCATGAACCGAGCCGATTTTTAGAACCAGTTTAAGAACCGAACCGAACTGTTTTCAAACCGAACCAAATTGATTTGTATAACTTTTTTTTTAATTTTTAATTTTTTTCTTTTCAAAATAGGGTCGACTCGAACCGAACCGAACCATTTAAACCAATTTGGTTCGGTTATTCAAAAAATTCGGTTCGGTTCGACCTATGCACATCCCTAATAATAAGTAATGAACCAAGTATTGTCATGAGGATATGAATGCACACAAATGTAATAATTATATGTACAATAACATTTAATAAATAATTTAAAATATAATAAAAAAAATTTGCATACCTAAAATTGTAAACGACGCTCTTTTAATTGACGAAATCTTCAAGGATAGAATCTTTAGTAAAAGTTTCAGCAATTTCTCTTTCAACATACACAACCAAATTATTTGCAAGAAAGTCATCCTCCATTTTGTTTCGAAGCCTCGTTTTCACGATTTTCATTGCTGAGAATGCACGTTCACTACTTGCTGTTGAAACTGGTAATGTTAAGATAAGACGAATAAGCAAATGATAGGAATTTGACTTTCCTGTCTTAGCTAATCCTTGACACAGCTCATAAATTGAAGATAAATTTTGAAGTTTTGGATGTTTTGAGATGTCCTTGTGGAAATGCTTCAATTGACAATTTAAATTAATTCTCTCTTGCTCAGAAAAATCAAGAGGATAGTATTTTTCTGCAAGGCTACAAACGTCAGCAATATTAAATGCTTTGTAACCATTCTTCAGATCTAATGAAGAGCTAAGTGATAAGAGTTCCATTGTTTTCTCAGTAAACCTTCTATCTAACTCTTGTAATTGAAAGTGAATGGTTAAATTAAAGATATCAAAATGATGGTGATGCTCAATAGTTATTTGATTATGTTGTTGACGGTCACGACCTTTAATATTTGAGCATCAAAATCTGAAACATCTATTTCATGAAGCTTGGAGAAATTAACAACACCTTCAAGTATTATTTTCCAACCATCATCTTGTCATTCTTGAATGAGTTCCTTTGTACTTGAAACTAATTGTATAGCATTCAAAATGTCTTGAGATTGTTGTTGTAATGCTTGACAAAGAATTTCAATGATACCCAAATATTTTCATTCTTGTATACTGCCATCTTCAAGATGCGAGTTCAAGATTTGGTCGAAAAATTCTCAACTTTTCAGTAGGGTGTTGATTCTCGCCTCGCTGACAATCAAGCGCAGTTGTTAAGGTTGGAAATAAGGTTGGATGATTACTAGAATTAGATGACTATGATAGTGAATCAGTTGCAGCAACTCAACACCACAGTGCTTGCGATTGATGCTCGTAATTGCAATCCTAATTTTCGTGGACCTGTGTTTCAATCAAATGCTGATGTTGCATCGTCTCATAATCCTCATCTGTTGCAGTCCATTTCCATCGATCAAGATTCAGCTTCTTGTTTTTTTTCTTTTGCCAGAAAATAGAGCATAACTCTAACATTGTAGGAGCTTCTGTTTCTTTAATGTAATTGTAGTTTGCTTTATTGACAACTTCAGTTGGTCTGCGTTCGCTGTTGACATCCACTGAGAGCATTTCTTGCCTAACCATTCATAGAAGAACTGAATTAGCATATCCGCATTTTTCATTCATGTTCATTCCCACGTAGATTTCTCCTCTCAAGTACGACAATGTATCAGCAGCACACAAAGCTAATGAGCAAAGCTTGTACCTCATTGTGTTGACGATAAGGGAAATGTGGATGTAAATTTTATTTTTTATGCATCAATTCAACCAAGAGGCATACCTGTTTATGGTGCTATTAGCACATCTGTTTTTCATTTGTCACATAGTGCATTTGCAGACTTCTTTTTAGGGTCATTGCAATGTGCATTTGAGAGCAATTGGAATGTCCTTCGCTATGTTCTTCTAAGTTTTACTTGGGACCCAGAAGGCAATGGCAATTTCAATTTCGCTATGTTTTGTTGCAAGTTCTTCAAAACAGGGCTTGACCTACTATCTCCACCATGTGGGTATGGTTGAGAGACTTTTCTTTGTTTTGGACCTTGAGGACAAGGTCATTTTCAAGGGGTGGAAATGTTACGTTATGTAGTGACTGTGAAGTGCAGTAGTACATGTAGTTTAGATAGATATATCGTAGTATGGAATATGTTGTAATTGCTAGTAGCTTAAGAAGTCATATGGGAAGGTAGCTGGGACGTTAGGAAGTTAGCATTTGATACGAAGAGCAAGATAGTATAAATAACATAATGTGATAGTTAGAAGTATGTTGATGAATGTATAAAAGAAGTCATTCAATGTAAAGAAGACATCAGATGAGTAATATCAATTACGTTCTTTTCATTGAATTTCACAGTTCATCTGTGTTTCTCTCTTTTACCCTTTACATATTCTTAAATCTGTATTAGTATGCACGCGGCCATGTCTAGTTGAGACACGACATTGTCCTCATGAAAATCATATTTTCTTGAATTTATTCATTTAGTCTCATATTTCAAGGATATCAAAGTGAAATTTAAAAGGTTTTTGACATGGTGCATGTTATGTGTTATTATTGTAATTGTAATGAAATTTGCATGTGATAACTATCTCATGATATCTATTACTTATTTTTATTGTAAATATTCGGATGAATTTTATTGTGAAAATTATATCATATTTATATAATTATATGCATGTTTACAAAAACTTGAAAGAAATAAAAATGTAATGGAAATAAAAAGGTAAACTTTTAAAAGAATAATGGGGAGGTAATATCTGAAAATCCAAATAACCTGCGATTTGTATAGGCCCACAGCTCACGTTTGACCCGCCCACAACAAGTGCCAGAATGGACTGGCTAGGCCCAATTGATAAGGAAGGGATGAACCAAAATAGTGATAATGGGCTTATTTGAAGCAGTGCTCCATTCAAAGCCCTCTGCATCTGCCGCTAATCCCTCGTACAAGGCAAAAACATGTCTTCGTAATAAATAAATTAGAAGAAGAAGAAGAAGAAGAAGAGAGCAAGCAGCAAAGTAGTGTCATATTTGGCTTTTAATTTTGGGCAGTGTGTCTGCAACTCTGCATTGAGGTGACGAACATTATAGTAGTAGAATCAGCTTCCGGCTAAGCAGCAAGCAAGAGCAATGCAAGCTGCATCATCAGGCATCGGATACGGTCTTAAGTATCAGGTCAAATTCTCAAAATCCTAACCAATTATCGTTCCCAGTAGTTTCCATTGATCTAATTATTCCCTCTCTCATATGATAGGCTAGATGCATATCAGATGTAAAGGCAGACACAGATCACACTAGTTTCCTTGCTGGCACTCTCAGCCTTAAAGAAGAAAATGAGGTAATTAGTCAGTTTTTATTTGTTTCTTTTGAGCCGAAATAGAAAAATAGAGTGAATCGTTCTTTCGCAGATTCATCTGATTCGGCTTTCGTCGAGTGGAACTGAACTGTTCTGTGAGGGATTGTTTTCACACCCCAACGAGATCTGGGACCTTGTCTCCTGTCCCTTTGATCAACGGATCTTCTCAACCGTATACTCTAACGGTACTCTACCTCTTCTTTTATTTTTATTTTTATTAACATTTTACCATATATTGAGATAGCTTGAGCTCGTGCATCATTTTAACATTCCAAGTTTGAAAAACTTCTGATTACCTTTATGTTCATAAAGGTGAATCGTATGGAGCAGCAATATGGCAGATCCCCGAGTTATATGGCGAGTTAAATTCCCCTCAGTTAGAGAGAATTACCTCCCTTGACACTCATGCTGGTAAGATTAAATGGTGAGTTTGCAATTCCCTTATGTCAGTTTTATCTTTTGCGCTTCAATTTTTATTATATGCTATGTCATTGCCAGGGGTTTATATAATTATCAGAAGGTGTTGAAGAAATTTATGGGGAGAGAATAGTTAAATATTGTTCTTAAACAAGATGTGATTTCTCCAGTTTATACTATTGGACTACTCTTTTGACTATGTCCTGGAAGATTTGCTTGTATTATTTAATAATCTTCCTGTTTACTATGTATGCTCATTTCACACTTTGAATTTGATACATTGATTTATTTTGTCTTCCTTACTAAATATTCTCCACCAAACAGTATCCTTTGGTGGCCATCTGGAAGGCATGATAAATTAATAAGCATCAATGAGGAAAATCTGCACTTGTGGAGTTTAGATGTTTCCAAGAAAACTGCACAGGTACGAAGTTCATGGCGTATTATATGCAGTTTGTGACATGTGCACACAGCAAAAAAGATGCTTATATATACAGGCATACAAAACACATATTGGTTCAAGATCACATGTTATCAGTATTGAAGTTACAAGCATTTGTCATGATGCAAACTAATAAATGGACCCTTACAAGGAGGAGGAAGAAAACATGGTGATTTGGGGAGAGTAAACAATGAAAGATAATTTGTTCTTGTGCAAAAAAGAAGCAGATAGTTTCTCTCTGGCCTCTTTGGGCATTTAAAATTCTAAAGTGAAAGGAAAAATATTTGCATTCCTTTAATTATTATACATGAACAATTAATCAGTTCATTAGGTTTTATTAATGATAGGCATTACAGAAAATGAAGGGTTGAAGATGAATGAATATATAGGTCGATGGATTTCCCCAAACAGCTATGATTCTGTGATGCTTCTTCAATCCATGATAAAAGCGACTGAGAAGTGGATCTTACAGATTGTCCATAATGGATCTAATTTTGTTCCCTTATAAGGGTTAATTATTTGGGTTGGAAAATTCAACATCAATATTAATTGCCTATCTGAGGGCAAGTCAAACACTACAAAGTTTCATGGGAAATTGGTGTCAGATAATAATGTATGTAAATGTAATTCAGAAATTGAGGATTTAAGATCTGGGTTGGGACTCTGATAATTACAGTACTGTGTGATTACAGTCACTACTATTTGTAAAATGCTGTGGGATTTTAGGTGATTTTATTTAGTTCCTCCACTGCCCTTCCCAACACATATGAACAGGTACAATCGCAAGATTCAGCTGGTATGCTGCACAAGTTATCTGGAGGGGCATGGGATCCGCATGATGTGAATTCTGTTGCTGCAACTTGTGAATCATATCTCCAATTTTGGGATGTCAGAACAATGGAGTATGTAATGTTCATATAACATCATTAATTCTTTTACCGGTTTATTTTAGTTGGTGACATGATAATATTTGACCCTGGGTCAGCATTGAGCACAAATGGCATTTAATACGCATGATGTTTGATTCTTTTTTTCCAAGTATGCTGTAATATGATTTTAGGCATCCTGAAACATCATTTAGTGTTATCTAATTTCGAAAGTCAATGTATTTGCAACTGTGCTCTTCCTTCTGTTTGAGTAAACTACTTACTTCATTTGAAGCCCGGGATTGAGGGTGCTGGGAAAGGGATATATATTCCCCTGCAACCAACTAGTTTTTGTATGAATTGGTACCACGTGGATTTTCATGTCTATTAATAGGATTCTTTGAATTACAGGAAGACTACTTCAATTGAGTGTTCTCATGTACGCAGTGTTGATTACCATCCTAAAAAGAAGCACATAATTGTAAGAGTTGAACTTTGTGATAGTCCTTATAGTGATAAGTGTATTTATACCTTTAAAATGGTTTTATAATCTCTGTCTAAGATAATGTGTTATTAATATTTCCTGTAATTCACCTATGATTTGATATGGATTGTCAGCATTTGTTGCTGACATTCAATTACAGATACTAATATGCATATCACAGATAACTATCTTTGATTTCTTTTCCAAGTATTAAAATATTTAATTTGCATTACATGATTTTTCTTTCTTTGATTATTCCTTGAGTTTACAGCAGCTACTGCCTTCTGAGATGGGAGTACTCTACCGTCTTTTGTTCATGTTGGCAAAATTGAATTGCTATGTTTTGTACAGGTTACTGCTGAACATGAGTCTGGGATACACATTTGGGATCTAAGAAAACCAAAAGTTCCCATCCAAGAGCTTCCAGGACATACACATTGGTACCTATCATGTATAGTTGCAAAACTAATTTTTTTTAGCTATATCCCCAGTTCAAGAACCCTATGTTCCAATTTCCTATCAAACCCCTGGTAGAAAAAGGAAAGAAAACAAAAAGTAAAGCGGAACAACTGCACTACATTCAGCGCTTCCATATATTGTTACAATCATGCTTTTAATGCAAAAATAACTAGTATTTTTTTAATTTCTTATAAACTTTGTCTTTAACGAAAATAAACTATTAGATATCATTTTTTCAGACATCTGATTGGTAATCTATATTGCTTGTATTGCCAGGACATGGACTGTCAAGTGTAACCCAGAGTTTGATGGAATGATTTTGGTTCTCTCTCTCTCTCTCTCTCTCACACACACACACACACACACATACATGGCTCCTCTAAATTGAGCAAGTAAGGGTGTATCTATCCTTGATTTATTTTAAAGTGCGTTGTGATCTTAACCCACTAGACTTGATGGTGGATAGATCTTGACTTGCTCACTTTAGAGATAAACTTACTTAGAGGAGCTTTTTTCCACTCGCGCGTGCACACATATACAAACAAACACAACCATACTTAATGACTTGTAAATCTCTTGCTAGTGTCCATTTGGTAAAGGTGGTCTGTATTCTAAATGATCATGTTATGGGGATATTTAGTTATTTGTCATGGAATGTGGATATTACAGAGTGCTGGTACGGATTCAACTGTCAACCTGTGGCTTGCCTCTACAAGCCATGATGAGTTAACTACTGAAAGGTCATTTTCTTATCTTTGATATTGTTACTCTTCTTTTATAACTGCATTTTTTTTTATTCACCTATGCTTGCATTTTAGCAGCCAAGCAGATTCACCTGCCCGATGGGTTGATCCATTACTTAATACGTACAGTGATTATGAAGACAGCATTTATGGTAAGAGCTTCAGTTTTTTTAATACTTTATCTTTACAGACTTTTGCATACCAATTTTGATTCGTTTTACAGGGCTCACGTGGAGTTCTCGTGAACCATGGATCTTTGCATCATTATCCTATGATGGCAGGGTAAGACCACAAGCAAATCTTTAGGCTTATTCTCAATTTTAGGTGATAAATTCTCTTCATGGAAAAATATAAATAAAAGATAAAATTATTCATAATGCCTGCATTACCTAGCTTGATATTTTTTTTTTTTGTATTATGCTTTATATGGATTATCTTAGCAGGTTAGCCCAATGGCCAGTATGCTATGACCGCAAAATAAATTAGTTTTGTCCAACCTGAGTCAATAGCATCATGAATTTTCCTCTTAGCAGAAGTGTCAATAGCATGCATATGGTCATAAGATCCGACTAATTCGTTGAACACTTGAATTTATAAACAAAAGTATTATTGCCTGTTTTATTATTTGCCCAGTGATTAGGACTTGGGTATAGCGATCTAAATCAGTGGCTTTCTCAAAGAATTTGATGGTTTTCTCGTGCAATTTACTAGCCTACATCAATCAGAAATCATCTCATCTCATTGATTTGATATTTCTTTTTCAAAACAGGTTGTTGTAGAATCAGTTAAGCCTTTCATCTCCAAAAAATGAAGTTCGACACCAATTGCCTTGTTGCTACCATTGGTCTTCTTGTGTATGTCAGTAATTTCCTGCCTCTCAGGTCTTGAGATAAACAGATGACTGGAGAGCCAAATGTTTATTGCTTCATGTCACCCTTGGTCGGTTTGACGTGGCTGAACATGTTTAATGTTAAATGTGTATGACATATTTGACCAGCAACCGTTGATAGCTCTGAAATCAACAAATTTTAGTTTAAATTTTTGTATTTCGACCTTAGAATTGTTTTTAGGTTGGATTATGTTTCTAGCCTATTCTTTGGTCAGGCATCCATCTTATGTAATTCATGGAGTCATTACATAATCTAATGAACTACAAGTTCTTTCTGTATCTCCTGAATTTGTTTTCGAATATGTTTAATTTCGTGGAAAGGGAATAACCTTTGTAGTTTATAAATCGGTTGTAATTGCAAAAGCGGTGTAAAGTGCTTAGATGAAAGGGGCTGAGTGCTGTGATAGCGACTAATGGGAAATCTTAATTGTGCCGCCCTTGCGAACTCATAGCTAGTTGGCTAATAACTGCGAAGCTGAGCCGCTAAACCTTGTTTTGTGTGGGCCAGATTTGTGGTATGACTATTTTGATCCAAGCGTTATGTGGATTGCTATAATTCCATGCGCGATGACTTGTCATCAAGACCTATCTGAGTGTGAAACTCAACATCGAAATGATCGTATTGGAAATCATTTATCATCCATGCAATTGACGTGCGGCTGTAGTGAATCGAAGACTTGAGAATTTGGATTTTACTTTCCAAAGTCCTAGCAACATGAATCTTGTATTAGCAAAAGTAATTCTGACAATAGAATTTAATAATTTCACAAAATTTTGTGATTGTTGAGAATATTACTCTTTTTTTAGAGTATCCAATTAATTTCGTTAATAGATGTACATTCAGTGACGTCCAAATCCTATAAAATTGGATTTGCACAAACTGACCATCACCTCAAAGCCAGTGTACTGTGCTAAAATGTGGTCCTCAAGAAAGAGGAAGAGTATCAGCTCTGAATTGGATATAATAAACACATGGCATCGTTTGGTTTCCTCGTAGAAGATCGATCCGAGGGTTCCTACACTTTCCAGCTGACTTGTTTTTCGTTGTTACGTGACGTGAAGAGCTTAATCACCATGAATTTTTCTGTCATCTTTTTTCGTACCACGTCAGCGCGCACTTCTCGAGTCAGCTTCTTATCCACAATTTTTCATTCTCATGGTCAACAGGTGATTTAATATGTCCTCGTGGCAAATTTGAAAGACACGTGGCGAGGCAACGTTTAAAAAAGTGTGGAAGGAAAGACGCTAGCATTTCTCGGTGACTAGACTTGGGGTTGGTTGTACTTGTGGATAAGGAGAGAAGACTTTGGTTTTCCAACGGGGGATTCAAGTCCACTTTCCATTTCTGTCATGTCGGTATCTCCCTATGGTCAGTTGATTTGTTGCTTCTTGTGTTTGGGAAATCGTTGGAGAGAGGATGTGTCCTAGAAATGACAAATTGTTTACTTAATTTTGTATAAACAAATTTAGTTGATTAGTTTATGTATCTCCGAATTTGTGAGGAGAACTATTTCTTTATATGTGAGGTTCAAACACAAAAAAAAGTGGGGTATCTTAAAGAGTGCGAATACTATTTTAATTTGTCTTAAGCACTTAATTGAAGAATCAATGTAATGAAAAAAATCTCGAGCGTTAATATATGGATTGGATATAAATTATAAGTGGTTGGTGGTTAAATTAGTATAAATTCTTGAATTGGATTCTCTTTTCTTTCACTCTTTAATTATTATATTTATTGCACTACGTCTATATCACACATATCTTTTTTTTTTTTTGGTATACATATCCCACGTATCTTATCAAACTTGATGACTTACTTGGTGCTGACTTGTGATAATTTTTACACAGATTTCTTATTTGTGATCATTTTTTATGGATTAGTCTCATAATAATATTTATGAAAATACACTGATCAACAGTTAAAAAACAAGTTCGAGGATAATTCAAAAATTGTAAACAATTAATTTAAATATTTGAATAATTAATAAAAAGTATTTACAATTGATTCGAATGTGTTTAGTTATTAATTTCTTTTTTAAATACAAATATTATTTTTTTGCAACTCTTTGGTAAGTAGTTATTATTAAATCATCATTATTGATGTATTTCAATAATTTTTTTATTTATTAACATATAAAAATTTATGGTAAGGGGAGACTTTATTTTAGGGTCAAGTAAATCTGTAATCTCAACTAGAATGATTAGAGATGTCTAAATTTGAACTTGTCATACAATTGTTGTGAGTATATCATACCTTCCCACTGACAAATAATATAATAATTTAATATACGCACAACATAATTTTTTTTATTTAATTTAAAAGTTTTAGATAATAATAATTTCATAATGGTAAGTACAAAGACAAATAATCCACTAGGGCTAGCCTAGTGGTGTGGGTGTGTGTGAGTGTGTGATTGTGTGTTCTATTCCCTGTAACCTACAAAAAAAAAGTACAAAGACAAATATTATCAAAATGTAAATACATAGGTGTACTAAAAAATAAATAAATTGTAAATACATAGTTAATGGGGTTGATTCATATAAATATATTATTTTTTTAATGCATAAAAATTTAAGTGAGATTAGATATCGATATCTCACTTGTTAGACAAGACTGATTCTAACTGTCAATTATTATTTATGGATGATAAATATATAAATATTAGTGTAAATTCTCATGCTTCCTTTAAATTTCCCCTTTAACTATATCTTTCTTTTTTTATATTGTGACTGATAATTTAATCATGCGTCAGTTTCTTCTAAAATGTTGAAAAATGTCTGAAGCACAATAGAACAACCGAATTTCTCTAATACAATTCTAAAACATATATACTGTAAAAAAATAACAAGATATCGTGGGGAAATTTAAAAACAAGGAGAAATGATATACAAAAGCATAAAATTTTAACCGCAAAATGTAAACTTGATTTAAAAAAGAGTAAATACCATTTTTGGTCCCTCACAAAAAACGTAGTCCCCACTTTAGTCCCTTACAAAAAAAAAATTAGTCAGTTGGTCCCTAACAAATTCAAAGTGGACCCATTTAGTTGAAATCGTGACTCCTCATAATTTCAAATTGTAAAAGGTGTTTTTTGTTAGAAACCCAAAAAGGATATCTACTCTTTAAAAAATATAATAAAGAAGACGAAACGTACGAAAAGAAAAGTGATAGAATATGAGAAAATAGAAGAAGAAGAAAAAAAGCATGACATCAATTAAAAGAAAATAGAACACCAAGGGCTGCTTTAAAGAAAGAAATATTTGTTTAATTAAAAAACATGTTTAATTTTTTTTAATAATATTTAGATAAAATTAAAAAATTATTTTCTTTTTCTTTTTCAGAAACTAAAAATAATATCTTCTATTTTTTTTTAAAATGTATCATAAAAATATTTTTAAAAGGCCAAAACAAAAGCACTCTCAAAAAGTAAGATATTTTATGAACATAGTTGATTATGTTAACATAGAACAAATATAAATAAGAAGTAATCCCTAATAAATATCAACATTAATTTTTCTCTTAATTTAAATCCCAAGTAAAAAGAATGTAGGGCCCGTTTGGTAGGAGGATTTTTTTTTGTTTTCCCGAGATTCTTTGGTTGGGTAAATAAGAATGCATCGTTAGGTACAGACTTTTTAAAATTTTCTCGGGAATCTGATTTTTCCAAGATTTCATTTTGTGTGTAATTTTTTTTGAAAAAATCATCCAGGAATACCATTCAAAAGGTGGTATTCTAGGATTTCTATGGCAAGGAAAAATTTAATACAACTAAACATAGTATCAAGAAAATTAACCCAATATTTCTGGGAATATGTTAATCTACCAAACAACTTTTTGATAACATTCCATAAAACTCATTTTCTCATCATATTCCTGGAAATTGTGATTCCCGGATAAAAAAAAATTTCTCCACTGCCAAACGCTCCCTGAAGTGTATATATATTCCAGTAAAAAAAAAAAGTTTGAGGATGGGCCTACCCTTTTTTTTCTTCTTCAAATTATTCTATAGTTATCATGTTAATGGAGTTGTTCACTTTCGCCTACAAATGACCACTTTCATATTCTAAACTTGTGATCATAAATAATTTTTACTTTTTGGTAACGATCATTAAATAAATTAAATTACAATAATAGTGTGATTTGGTGCTCCTCATCCAACAAACGACACAGTGGCGGTCGAAGAAATGACACTTGGCGACACCAAAGTGGAATAAGGGACACAGATGGTGGTGGGGCCCACGTGCTCACGTGTATACGTATATATGAGTAAATCTCGGGATACGCAGCCATGGCCGAAGCACAGCACAACCCGGATCTGATCTCATCGCTCTTCTCTTCTTCACTTCTCTCTCTTTCCTAAAATTCCAACATTCAAACTCACTCTTCACTCTTTAGATCAAATGCTTCAAAACAAAGATTACTCAGCCTTAGGCTTAGGCTCTTTTGCTTTATTATTTAACAAATATCCCTCTACTTCTAATTTTGTTCTCATTATTATTTTGTAACTAGTTAGTGAGAGAAGTGAAAAGGCAAAAAAAAACTAAAACAGTTACACAGTTACGCACTGCACTTAACTTCTTTGGTTAGTTAAATTTGTCAATGTCATTTGGCATTAATGGCGGCGAGTTCTAGAGGCTTCTCAACAACACAGTTTGATTTCGAGCTAAGAGTAAGGAAACTCAATGTTGCTCTGCTTTCTAACAATCACGTACTCGAGTTTTCCCGGAGAAAGCGTAGAAAGTTGTGCTTCGATACTCGACTCGGTAACGGTCAACTGCGTTGCTGTTGTTCCGACTCAGTAACTCCGATTCGCAGAACGAGTGGGCCTGGTAACGGTGGTGATAAGAACGAGGAATGGTGGTTCGATCCGAAGAAAAACCCTCACATTCACAGAGTCAGGGTTCAAGCCTCCCCTGCTGCAATGCCTTTCGCTTCTCCACCGTATGTCTATATCTTATGTTCCTTGCCTGAAAATTCATTCCTGTAATTAGGTCTCCGAACTTTGCATCTTTGTCTATAATCTCTATATTGATGGAAATTGAAAACGATGATCTTAACGGTGAAATGAAATGATAGGATGAATGTGCAATTTTCATATGAAACTGGATCTGTCGCTTGTACGCACTTGGTAATTTCTTCACTTTTATTCCCAAATCAAATGTACCGAGAATTTTCTGATCACGATTTATAATGTTCATGTGATAATGATAACCTACTCACTCTCTCCTTTTGGTTCAATCAGTAACTTGTGCTTTTTGCTTATAATGGAGAGTATAACATCAATGCTAGTGAAATCATTAAGATAGTTTACTAATCAGGGAGCCTGGCTTTATCTTGGCATTCTCTTCTATGGTTTCTAGCTTTTTTAGGACCAACGGGAGATGTGCTAATGATGACCGTGTTGTGGTTTGTAAGAGATGAAAATGGTTTTATATACATTAGCTATGTATGTAAGAATTAAGATGCATCAACCTTATCGGGGACTTGAACAATGAGTTTGGTTAGGCAAAATGACCAACGGGGCTACATAAATTTTTACAATATCGGGTTGTATATACAAATTGTGAATGTTGATGTCGGTGGTACACTTAAATAGCTTAATTATATTCGAATTATTATGCTTGTTTAAAATGGAAATTATCTAGATGTTGATAATGTCATAAGGCTGACATGCTCTGACCTACATTTAAGAGCAAGGAAGGATGAAGCTTACTTTTATTTTTCCTCCGTGTTTATTCTTTCTAGTCTCCACTGTATTTTTCAGAAAATAAACGATGCTTTGTTTGTGGAAGAGATCATTTCATTGGATGTTAGTTGGATTTTGTTTATACTTTATACAACCTACTGTAGAAAATTAGAATTCAAACATGTTTCCGTTTTTATTTCCTATTAATTAGGATTGATTATGATTGATTAGGATTAATTGTGATTGATTAGAATTGATTGTGATTAGGATTGTGATAGGATTGATTAGTCATCGCTTAGTCATTCTTAGCGATTCTTTCTTGTATAAATACTCACTCATGTAATTTATTCAATATCAATATACAAAAACTTCTTTTCAATATGGTATCAGAGCGGGTTCGTTCCTACCCTAATTCAAATCTGAAATAACCATCCAAACACTTCCATCACCGTCAAACACCTCCTAAACACTGCCTTGAATCTGTCCAACACAGAAACCTAGTTTACTGACCTCCGATCAAAAAAGTGAGGTGACCATTCGACTCAGAAGGATCCGACGAGTCGACCGCCGCTGGACCCATCGCCGTCAGCCGCTGCACGCGCCACCACGCGCCGCCTTCCAGACGTTTTTTTTTTCCGTCGCGACTTGCACAGACCTTCTCGCCGGCTTCTCCCCTTCCTGTTCCAGAGGTCAGATCAAAAGTTTACAAAACTTGATTTTTCATCAACGGTCAACCCTTCTCTTTTTATTCATGGCTTCCTCAAAACACTCTTTTTATTACCACGAGCAACCTCCTAAGGCCACTAGTCATGTGGTCCAGCAAGGTACAACTTTCCATGTTGATAGTCAAAATCATTGGATCCTTGATTCTGGAGCCTCTGATCATATGACAGGTAATCTTGGCTTGTTTTGTTCATACACTCCATATTCTGAACCTTCTCGGGTCAAGATCGCCGATGGCAGTTTTTCCCAGATTGCGGGACACGGCACCATTAAACTTTCTGAGCTGATTACTTTGACATCAGTTCTTTATGTTCCTTCTCTGACTTGTAATCTCATTTCCATTAGCAAGCTCACCTCTGAGTTGCATTGCTTTGCTAAATTCTTTCCACATGGTTGTGTTTTTCAGGAACAGGACTCGGAGAGGATGATTGGCAGTGCTAGAGAGGATTGTGGACTTTACTACTTTGAGGAGGATGTAACTCATGAAGCTGTTTTCGTAGAAAAAAACTCTATGTTTCCTTTTGATTCATGTAATGATGTTATGCTGTGGCATCGTAGGCTAGGCCATCCAAATTTTATTTATCTTCAGAAGTTGTTGCCAAACTTATTTATTAATAAAAGTCCAAGTTTGTTTTCTTGTGATATTTGTCAACTTGCCAAGCATACTCGTGCTCATTATCCTTCTAAAGTTCACCATGACTCTTCCCCATTTTCCTTAATTCATAGCGACATATGGGGTCCAGCCCGTGTTAAAAATATTTCAGGTACTCGATGGTTCATTACCTTCATTGATGACCATTCTCGAGTTTGTTGGGTGTATCTTCTAAAGGATAAGTCCGATGCTGCATCCGTGTTTAAAAAATTTCATGCCATGGTTCAAACCCAATTCCAAGTTGCTATACAAATTCTTCGTACAGATAATGGCAAAGAGTATTTTAACTCTATTCTTGGAGAATATCTTTCCCAACATGGCATCCTTCACCAAAGCTCGTGTCCTGACACACCCCAACAAAACGGAGTTGCGGAAAGAAAAAACCGAGATCTCCTTGAAGTTGCTCGGGCTCTTATGTTTACCACGAGTGTTCCTAAATATCTTTGGGGAGAGGCAGTTCTCACTGCCTCGTATCTGATAAATCGAATGCCATCTCGCATTCTGAAATTTCAGTCTCCTCTTTCTAGTCTTGTTCGTATCTTCCCTTCCTTCCGAGGTGTCTCCTCCTTACCTCTCAAGTTATTTGGTTGTGTTGTATTTGTCCATATTCCCTCCCATCAACGGTCTAAGCTTGATCCTAAGTCTCTCCAGTGTGTCTTTATTGGTTATTCTCCTACTCAACGTGGCTATAAGTGTTATTCACCCTCTCTTCGTAAGGTCTTTGTCTCTATGGATGTCACTTTTTCTGAGAATGACCCTTTCTTCCCCTCGACTTCTCTTCAGGGGGAGTCTATAGGAGTAGATGAAGATCAGTCATGGGAACCTATTAATGCCACAGTATTACCTCTACTTTTAGAAACAGGGGGAGCTACAGAATCCTCACCATCAGGAGCCTCCTCAAAATGGGGACAAGTCTATAGCAGGCGAAAGCCTCCTCAAAGTGTGAATAACCCAGAGCCTCTACACTGCCAGGATTCTGAACCATGTTCTAGTTCCAGCACCCCAATACTTGAGTGTCATGGTGAAAATGATCTACATTTGCCCATTGCTCTCAGAAAAGGTACTCGATCTTGTACTACTCATCCTATTTCTAATCATATTTCATATGGAAAGTTGTCCCCAGGGTTTCGTGCTTTCAATACTATGTTGGATAGTACAAAGATACCGAGAAATATACATGAGGCTCTCAATGATAAAAAATGGAGGGATGCTGTCTTTGAAGAAATGAATGCTTTAGAAAGAAATGGAACTTGGGAGATAGTGACCCTACCCAAAGGAAAAAAGGTAGGATGCAAATGGGTGTTTACAATAAAATTCAATGCAGATAATAGCATCAACAAATACAAGGCAAGATTGGTCGCAAAGGGTTTCACTCAGACTCATGGGATAGATTATCATGAGACTTTTGCTCCGGTTGCTAAAGTCAATACCATCCGAGTTCTCTTATCTCTTGCTGCCAATCTAGATTGGCCTCTGCAACAGTTAGATGTGAAGAATGCATTCCTAAATGGTGACTTACATGAAGAAGTCTATATGGATCCTCCACCTGGTTTTGAAAAGGGAAATGGATCAGTGTGTAAACTAAAAAAGTCTCTATATGGATTGAAACAGTCTCCCAGAGAATGGTTCGACAAATTCACACAAGCAGTCAAAAGAAGAGGCTTCATTCAAGCACAGACTGATCATACTCTCTTCCACAAACACTCTAAGGATGGTAAAATTGCTATTCTTATTGTATATGTAGATGATATAATTCTTACAGGTGATGATATTGAGGAATTGAACACCTTGAAGAAATTTCTAGCAGCTCAATTTGAACTCAAAGACCTTGGCACTCTCAAATATTTCCTTGGTATGGAAGTTGCTAGGAGCAAAACAGGTATCACTCTAACACAAAAGAAATATGTTCTAGATCTTTTGTTGGAAACAGGAATGTTAGGGTGTAAACCTGCTGAGACACCTGTGGAACCTAATACCAAGTTAGGTATTGAAGATGGAAATGAGGTGGATAAAGAACAATATCAGCGATTGGTTGGTAAACTAATCTACTTATCTCATACGCGTCCTGACATTGCCTTTGCGGTGAGTATGATTAGTCAATTCATGCACTCACCCAAGGAGAAGCATCTTAGTGCAGTCTATAGGGTGCTTAGATACCTCAAGAATACTCCAGGAAGAGGATTATTCTTTAAAAAGGGGTATAAAAGGACAATTGAAATCTACACTGATGCAGATTGGGCAGGCTCATCAGTAGACAGAAGATCTACCTCAGGCTATTGCACCTATGTGTGGGGAAATCTTGTTACTTGGAGAAGCAAAAAGCAAACAGTGGTTGCAAGAAGTAGTGCTGAAGCAGAATTTCGAGCTTTAGCTCATGGAGTTTGTGAAGGAATCTGGTTGAGAAGACTTCTTCAAGAGTTGAAGATTTCATATTCCCTACCAATAAAACTATATTGTGACAACAAGGCAGCTGTTAGCATTGCTCAAAATCCTGTGCATCATGATCGAACAAAGCACGTGGAAGTTGATCGTCACTTCATCAAAGAAAAATTAGATGATGGAAGTGTGCATTTGATATATGTTCCAACCAAAGAGCAAACGGCAGATATCCTTACCAAGGGCCTACACCGTCCAGCATTCGAAGACTTGATTGGCAAGTTGGGAATGATCAATATTTACCTCCCAACTTGAGGGGGAGTGTAGAAAATTAGAATTCAAACATGTTTCCGTTTTTATTTCCTATTAATTAGGATTGATTATGATTGATTAGGATTGATTATGATTGATTAGGATTAATTGTGATTGATTAGAATTGATTGTGATTAAGATTGTGATAGGATTGATTAGTCATCGCTTAGTCATTCTTAGCGATTCTTTCTTGTATAAATACTCACTCATGTAATTTATTCAATATCAATATACAAAAACTTCTTTTCAATACCTACGGTAACTGAATGATTATGCTGCTTTATGCCATAATGGCCACAGATCCTTTCGGAAGCAGGACAAATTCTTTCCTCGTTGCACCCCAAGAAATTCTGGTCCACAGTCACGTGATACTCCACCGAAAAGAGGTAGTTTATGATTTATATTCATACCGTTTTATATCTGCCCTAAACATTAATGAAGGCCATTTTAGATGTTTTATATTTGTTAATCATGGAGTGTTAAATATTATGTCTGTTTGTGTTCACCGGTTCCTACACAGACACTGGCATAGCAAATGAGAAGGACTGGGGTATCAGCTTATTAAATGAAAATGTTAATGAGTCCGGCACTAATGAAGATGGGAGTACCTGGTACAGAGAAAGTGGGGAAGAACTGGGTGAAAATGGATATAGATGTAGATGGACAAGAATGGGTGGTCAATCCCATGATGGTTCCTCAGAATGGAAAGAAACGGTATTTGTAGTTATAGTATTTGAATGTGTATATATATTTTCTTTTTTTCTTATGGAAGCAGTTTATGTTAAAGTAACTTTTTGAATGAAAGCAATCTTATCTCTTGTATTTTTCTATGTTTAGTCATCAAATATAATCTCGTTTGATACCCACCTCAAAATTATCTTGGTTTGCTTAAAGAGATCATTATACTATAATAAAGGAGCGATCTTTTATAACAAATATAAAGGAGTGATCTTAATTTCCAAACTGTAGATCGTAAAGATTTCCATGCTGACTTTCTGTTGAGAAAGGATTTATTGGTAAAAACATTAATGATAAAAACTTATGAGTGAATACTTCACGTTTGGGCTTTTAAAGACAGAGGACTAGAGTAACTTAACGCCTGTTGGATTAAATACTACAATGGCTTAGATAAATGTCTTAGTATGCCAAGTATGGTTGCATGTAATCTTAAAGAGGATCTTGGTGTGTAAGTACTTCATATACCTTGAAAATAAGGGCAAAGGGAAAACCCCAGTGCATAAGGCTCACCAACTTTGCTAAGGTAGGGATGAGGGTCGATTGTATGTAACCTTATTCTCGCATTTTTACAAAAAGGCTGTTTCCGGGCTCGAACCCTTGATCTTCTGGTCAAAAAGGAGTAACCTTACTGCTGCTCCAATGCTTGCCCTCTTCATATACCTTGAAAATATTGAGCAGAAATCTTCATTCAAATATTTTTAGAAATTCAATTTTTACTCTTACAGTAGCTCTTGTAATTTGAAACATATTTATGTATTTAGTGCTGAATAACTTTATAGAAATGCTCGTCTTCGTGACAAGGAAATTTTTTATTTATCCTTGAATTATCATAACAATGAATCAATCTTTTCCACTACAAGTGAAATCTTAATTTGGAAAAGATCTTAGAATTCTTTAATCTGCGGTACTTTTATCACCTACACTTCTCTTACCATCTGTAAAGAACCAATTCAACCCAAAAGCTTAAGCTGGTGGGTGAGGGCTTTTTAATGATTTTATATATCTCAACACGCCCCCTCACACGAGAGCCCACTGGGCTTGAAGGGTGGACAATGCACAGGCCCACCTACCTGTGCGAACAAAGAAATTCCACTTGAAAGAAAGTGGGGGGCGGCGAGGATTGAACCCGGGACACGAGGCTCTGATACCATGTAAAGAACCAATTCAACCCAAAAGCTTAAGCTGGTGGGTGAGGGCTTTTTAATGATTTTATATATCTCAACACCATCAAAGTTTGTAAAATCTGATTATCTACAATTATAATCTGGAATTGTTTTTTTTCTTGATTAAGTTTTGCAGCTTTTCATGTAATTTATTTCGTTCAATTCAAAATATTATTTTCCCTTATTTTTGAACTATTTGTGGTAAATCCTGACATAATTTGGAGGTTAATCATAAAGAAATATTACTTTCGGGAAATCTTCAAGGGTTTCTTTCAATTTTTATGATTCATTCTGGTTAATTATTGATATATTATGAGTCTCATGTCCCTCAAAGCTTATTTTTGGGTAAACCCAGGAGCTGCATAATTTCATTGTCACCAGATATTTGTTCAGATGTTTTGAGTACTCTACATTAACATTTTTCTGTAGCTGAATCAAATATGATTTTCAGCTCAATTTATTTGAAGTATGGTAGGTTGGTATTTTCTTTATAATCGCATCAAGTGTCTTCGTAGGTGGATTCATTTTTAATGTTAGATTGACAGTATTCATAACCTTATCAGTATTACACCCCAGGTGGATTCATTTAATTGGCTTTATTGATCTAATTGACAGTGGTGGGAGAAGAGTGACTGGACTGGATATAAGGAGCTAGGTATGTTACTTCCTTTATGTTTGATATAGCAGCCTGAAATTACTAGATACTTTTAGGATTTCTTAGTGTGTGTTTGGGGTCAGTCCAGAATTACTTCTGGGCAGAAGTACATGATTGTCCTGTCCGAAAGTTAGTTTGAGGGGTTCAAACTTACTTTTGGACCCTTGCTCAAACATGATGTTCTATCATTTAGCATAGTTCTAGAGATTTATATGTCAATACTAATTGTTAATAACATTTGGTTGATCTATGATTACGTGTACATATAAAAATACGTTCTTTCATATTGCCTGCTCCAATATATGCAATTTTTTCAACATCTATACAAACTTCTAAAGTTCGTGTCAAATGCAATGACTGCATGCTTGTAAGAAAGACGGAGTCAAAATAGAATAAATAAATATATGAATAAAGTGTTATTAAAGATCTCCCTACCAAATGACAGGATAACTTAACTGTCCTTCCAGACACTGTCCTACCCTTTCTCACAGTTGATAAGCAGATTGTGCTGTTAGCATGCCATTCGATGCTCTCTTTTTTCTCGTATTTCATACTGCTATAAGGAATGGCAATATCATCTGAGCTTCATTAAATTTTTGACTGAATCAGCTACCATTATTATCTAATGGTGTAATTGATTGAAGAAATACTGAGTAACGGGGCTGTTGCATCATTATTTGTCAAACTCTTATTCTAAATATTGTGACTTGTGAGTGCATGCAATCAATTTTATAAGTTCTCGCAGGTGTGGAGAAATCTGGTAGAAATTCTGAGGGGGATTCATGGTGGGAAACGTGGCAGGAAAATCTTCATCAAGATGAATGGAGGTCATTAGTTCATTTCTCTGTATGCTGTGAATAAGAAACCCTATGAATTCTTAACATGATGTCTTGCATGTTTAAATTTGCAGTAACATAGCAAGAATAGAAAGGAGTGCACAAAAACAAGCAAAATCAGGAACTGAAAATGCTGGATGGTATGAGAAATGGTAAGTTTATGTACTTTACATAAAAAAACTGGTACTCTGTATGCATTATTAATGAATCAAATGCATTTAGAATTTTTGACTCTGTTCAATTTGGTTAGGTGGGAAAAATACGATGCTAAAGGCTGGACTGAGAAAGGGGCCCATAAGTATGGTAGACTGAATGAACAATCATGGTGGGAAAAGTGGGGAGAGCATTATGATGGAAGAGGATCTGTTCTCAAATGGTATGTATTCTGATTTTCCTATCTAATGAATTTGCTTTAAATGTTGTCTGCAACTTCTTGTTGCTATATATATATATGTGTGTGTGTGTGTGTGAATAATGAGGATTATGTTAAATAGGCACAGTTGTATCATCTAGTTCTAAAAACTCATCATAGAATTTTGTATGCATATAACCATCAATTATATATAACTATTATGTTGATCATGTTTACCAAATTTTAGAAATATTAAATGACTACAAGTATTAAGTATGTGAACAAATGGTAAATATCTTAATTTGTTGTGTGATTATATTATAGATTAGTTTTAAGATATTTGTCATGAACTAACTATCTCAAAAGCTTAAGTTATTAGATAAAGATGCGTGAATAGTTTTTTTTTTTTATATTTGTAACATGCCTCTTCACGCAAGAGTTCTTTGGGTCTGAAACATGGACAATGCATGGGCCTACATACCTTGTAATAAAATTCAACTTTTTATTAGGAGAATTGCGCGGGGGGGGGGGGGGGGGGGGGGTGATCAAACTCTAGATCACTTGGTTTTAGAGGCTCTCGTACCATATCATGAACCAACTATACCAAAAGTTTAAGTTCTTAGGTGAATACACTTGAATAATTTATATCAACATCTCTAACAATATTGATGGACGTTGATTAACATGAAATTTTTTGAGCATGACATGCATGGTGCACTTTCAAACTTTCAGTCCAACAGTGGATTTTGTGAAATTTTGTCCTATAAAAGGTTATTCATTGGTGTAAGATTGATTTTGATTTATGCTAATATCAATGGATACTATGGTTACATGTGTTGAATTATGATATTTTAACTGCGACCTCAATATTGTTTTCATTTATATTTTTTAGTTTTTCACACTTGTTCTTCTTTCTTTTCTTGTCTCCTATTTAAATGTAATTTTCCTGTTGATTTTCTTGGATACAAGTTGATCAGATTTCTAGCCAGAAAGAGTTCATTTTATACAAGTTCTGAATTTTATCTTCTTCATGCTTCCTCTTCCTTGCTTACACTTCCTCAGGACAGATAAATGGGCTGAAACTGAGCTTGGAACAAAATGGGGAGACAAGTGGGAGGAGAGGTTCTTTAAAGGCATAGGTTCGCGTCATGGGGAAACATGGCATGTATCTCCAAGCAGTGAACGTATGTTATACTTACTATAAATTTAGTTTAATTACAAATTCTACTTTCACATTCATTTCAGATTTGGTTGTTCCCTTTCAGTAACCAAACGCCATGTCTTTTTATTCCACTTGAAGTTTATCAGAGTGATAGATGTAGTCTTGGAGAGGTCGCATTCCATTTGAACCTTGGGTGTTTGTCTTCATATAGAAATAATGAAATATAGACTGAGTTACTGGTCTTGAGATACTAATCATGTATCTTATGACTCTGAAGAGTTGGATTGCTCTTTCTTCGAAGGTCCATAAAATCGGCCTTCTCTTATTGATTCTGCTTTATAGCATTCTGAGTTTTCTCGTATAAGTTCATGTTCCAAGGGGAAGCAGCTGCGATGGGCTGCTTGCTAGCTTTCTTTCTTTCTCTTGTTCTTTATTTGCTTGCTGCATGGTTTTCGCTCTTTAACATAACTGTATTTGGTTTACTACATTTTTTAAATTCGATGCAATTTTCATCCTTATACCAGGTTGGTCAAGAACTTGGGGAGAAGAGCACTTTGGAAACGGGTATGGAATCAAAAGCTACTGTACAGCTAATTAGTTGGATTATTTGTTCATGATAATAGCTTAGAATGGATTATTGAATAGATCTCTATCGAATGTCTCAATTTTTTATGCGATTCTCAAAATGCTTTTCTGAAATGTTGCTTTCTCTACCATATTGCTAACTGATTCGACTTTTGCCTGTAACAGGAAAGTCCATAAGTACGGAAATAGCACAACCGGTGAAAGCTGGGACATAGTTGTAGATGAGGAAACTTATTATGAGTAAGAACATTCTTTTCAACGACAAACAAATCCATTATATATATATATATACACACACACACTGTGAGGTAGAGTGTGGGACTAGTCTCTAATCGGGTGTGAACTTCGCCCTAAGCCCCTAACCACAAGGTGCTTCTAGTTATATATATGAAAAAACCCTCTAAAGGGAGCATATAAAGAGTATATCTACCCTTAGTTTAATCTAAAGTCAATGATGCATGGGGGTGCTGTACCCGTACTGGTTTTTTACTGGTACTTGTTGGGTACGAAGCCAATACTTTTTTTTTTATACATCTTGGTCAAGCATTCCAATAAACTGATATCACTTAAATACAAGCCTGTCCCTTAATACACAAGTTTTGTTGCTAAGCTGTTTGGTTTGCTACTAAATGAAACAAACTGCTACTTCATCCTTTGATTCCTTTCAAATCTTCTATCCTTTTTAATACATATTTACTTGGTATAATTTATGGTGTCTTGTTGAAAACTGAGTTAGAACATTGTAAATAATGTATTTATTATCGTAGGATTTAATTACTTCATTGTCTAGATTTTTATAATTCTATGTATGTCCTCCCGTTTAGTTTTTAGAAATTTTACCCATATCCTTGTAGTACAGACTAAAGGGTATCCTAATATTAGCTTCTAAAAAAATTTGAGGGTGGATACACTTGATAGCCATATTGCAATATATGTTCAATTTGAATTTGACAATATGTCTCTTTTATGAAGGGCTGAACCTCATTATGGATGGGCTGATGTCGTGGGTGATTCAAGCCAATTACTTTCAATTGAGCCTCGGGAGAGGCCACCCGGTGTCTTCCCCAATTTAGACTTCGGTTCACCTCCGTCACCCGAAGCTGATGATTCCCCGGATGATTTGCCGCCATCACAATGAAGAGCATATTTGCAAGCCCCATTGTTTATTTTGTTTAATTTTATTAGAGAGATCTCATCATAACGAGCGAAACTCCATTTGTAAAAGGTGCATTGTGGATCAATCATTTTATTCATTCTTTCCATCTTTAAGTTTTTTTTCTTCCGCTTTCCACTTCTAATTATATCATGAAAATTGATATGATGTTCGTGTTATTGTTCGTGATGTTGAATTTTTTTTTTTAGGGTACAAAAATAATTGGTAGTTATGTGCTCCTAATTAGATCATGCCACTTAACCAAAGATTCTAAACATGGCTTGATCGTTATAATTTCCAGTTTTAATCACAGGGAAATTTGTCGGCACGGACAAGATATAACAATTTCTATCAAACTATCAGGCCGCTTGCCCTTTCAGTTTTAGAGTTCCTTTTTCCATATTCACAGACATGTTATAGAGAGTCGAATATTGGTAAATCTCTTCCTTCAATTGTAATTGCTGTCTCCGATTGCTTCAGACGAATCCAGTCTCCATTTTGAAGGGTCAACAGACTCTCTCTCTCACCCGTGAAATAACAAAATCTATTTTCCTTTTTTTTTTTTTTTAGTACAGAAAATCTAATTTCCTTTGTGACTACTTGTATAGAAGAATTTATCAACATTTTGAAAACGGCTACCTATACCGATCAGGCCATCACTATTGCTATGTTCCCTTTAGGCGTAAAAAAACTTTAGTCAGCATCCTGCTGCTTGTGAAAGTGAAGTTCATTGCATCAATGTCAAAGAAAGACAGGAACGACGATGTACAGTCCATCAACTGTAACAATTTTCCTCAACGAAGATTTACAGATTTTTCTACTTCCTAGCAAACTCAATTTTGTATGCAGCTATTCTCGAATGGTTGTCTTCCAACTCCATTTCCATTGCTCACTTCTGATCACCATTTTACAGATTGAGATTCAATTATAACTCCAAACACCCCCAAATTTCAACATCAAACTGGGGCCATTATGTCCTTAAAAATGCCCAAGATGTTCTTATAATTAAATTTGAGATGTCTTCTTACTACAGCAACTTGAAGTTCAGCCAGTATTGAGAAAGACCTTTTTTTTTATGTTTCTTCTGTTTGGGCTTATAAGCAACTCTCAAATCGTCGAACAACAGCTGCACATGGGGATGTGATGAGCGCAAAGAATCATAATAAAAGAGTCAACTGGTACATCAGCGCAGAATACGTTGGCTTCCCTAATCTGATATAACTTCCTCCAACTCAGGATCCTCAAAGTTCAGAGTTTCATAATCTGAATTTGTTTCATTATCTGCTAGATCATCCTGATCTTCATCATCTTCCATGTCTGGCCGTCCAGACTCGTCATCAACATCCAGGGCATCATTTGTCACATTTTTCTTGGTTGCATTGTCCTTCCCATATTTTCTAGGTCCAGATTTTTTCTCAACTTTGGCCTCAGAATCTTCACATATGCAGGTAGATGGATTCTCATGAAACCCGCCTCTACCTGGTCTAACCTCCTTTGGCTCCCCCATGAAGCCTTTCTGGAAAGTACGGACACTAGAAGCAAAAACTTCCCAAGTCAAATTACTTCTGCTCAAGAACAATCGATAGAGTTTTTTAGCATTTGGACGAATGGTTGGTTTATGCCCAATGTATCTCCTATAAGAAAGTGCTTAGCTAATTAGCAGCTATAGATATCAGTGATCAACAGAAAGAAAAACAAAATGAAGAAAATGCAGCCATACCTTCGTCCAGCTAATATTTTAGCCATATTACCGTTGTTATTGGTTACAAATACGTCACTTTCATCACAAACAATGAAGTCAAGTGCAGCCATGCGAGAAGAAAATGAAGAAAATGCCTCTAATTCTTCCTTGGTCGCAATGGTCTCTTTTGAATGGAAGTTAGGAAATAATGCCTTGAGAGGTGCCAATGTTTCTTCCCCTCCATAAACTTCCCCTGATGCCACATAAATATGAACGTCTGAATCATACCCCAAGGCTCTTAGCATGAGACCAACTTCTTCTGGGGTCAACGGGCATCTTCCCTGTCTCCTTGCCCTATCAGGATTGCTTCTCTGCATATTAATATTCCTCACACTATTCAGTAATCCATTTAAATCAGTTTTCATATGCAAACAAAGTTAGGCAAAACATCCTCTATGAAATAACGCGTATTTCCTTAGCATCTTGCTACTAACAGGGTGAAAGACTGTTTAGATGTTAAAAGCCGCTGGTATTCATTCTATGTAAACATCCTATTAGGTTTACATATCCTGTGTCGTTATAACCAAAATGAATGCTATATGGTTTTATATGTGCACTCAAGCATACAAAATACTACCTAAAGGTAAATAAAGATGTGATTACATTTTCCATATATCTTATGAATTGAAATAATGATTGGTAATAAAATGTAACATGTGAGCCTTACATGTAGTGTCTTCCACCTCCTCCTTATTGCGCCTAGTTCCTTCTGCTCCTTCTCTCCTCCACCATAATAACATCCAGAAAATGCAAGCATATCAGGTTCAAATCTGTAGCAAGAAAAAAAAAAGACGTCAAATCTAAAAACTATTCATTAGTTATAAGTTATTCTACGTAGCTAACTGCATCTTAAATGTTGAAGAGAAAAAGCAATTGCTTGTTGTCCAAATTGAATCAACAGAAGCTTCACGAAGTTCGTGATGTGGATCTAGTCTAAAATATGAGTGTGTGGGTGTGTTAAGGAATTTCTCAAACAAATTGTTTTATTTGTTTTCCTCAAAATGGAGCTATATCTCATTTAAATTTTATCCTTGAGTTCTGTTGTTTCCCAAGTAAAGTTTAAATCTTAATATATATATATATATATATATATATATATATATATATATATATAAACTAAAATCTTGCTTATAATTTCAGTAAAAGCTAATTCAATTTATTTACATATATTTAAAAGAAGAAACAAAAATAGATTAGCAAAAGAACCAAGTACAAGAATAGAGGATAATATATCCTAAAAGAAACAAAAAACCAGAATGAATAAAAAAGTACATCAAGTTAGCAAAGCTACACAATCTCTTAGCATATCCAACAAATAAAACCCAATGAAATAACCACTAGCTGAACAGTGAACACCATAAAGAGGCTAAGAAAGCCACTTTATCCAAAGGGAAAGGCAGGAGAAAAAACTTGTCCTTAAAAATACTGGCATTCCTCTATATCCATAAGCACCAAATAAGAGTATACAGTATACACTGTACACTGCCAAAGCGCTTTTCTCTCTTTAATCCTCCCAGAAGCTCACAAATGACCTAAGAAAAATTGCTCCAGATTCTCAGGACAAATCCAACATTCACAGAAATAAATCCAGAGTCTATGCCACAAGTATCTGGCAGCTGAGCAAATGTAAAAAACTGGCTGCCAGTCTTGGAATCAAAGAAAGACATAACATAAAATCAGACTGGTGGGTTGTGTGGTCTTTTAACTTGCAAGAAATAATTATTGATTTTATAAGTACTGCAGTTCAAATGAAAGCGTTTATCTTAGAGGGGGACATAGGACTTACAAAGGAACTAACAAGCAGAAAATTGTCCTTATTATACTATATTATATTTTTTTAGGATTTACAGGAAAACACTCCAGAGGAGTCTAAAGTCCAAATTCTACTAACCACACAAGAAGAGGAGCAAATCGAGTCATGCAGACCAAGAAGAGACTCCAGTACTAAAGCTTCTCTATCATGATAATTTATGAAAAAACAAAAAACAAAAAACCAAGAAATAGATTAATCCTAGATAAAATAGAGAATACTAATGGGATGGTGATGCAAGGAGGATTAACAACAAGGTGGGGATAGGAAAAAGTTGAAGTAGTTATAAAATAATATAATAATAAAATTAATTTGTAATAAATTTGTTAGAAATAACGAATGCATTGCACAGGTTACAGGCTAGTTGCAGAAAATCATGCTTCATAAACAACACAAGTTTACAGTGACTACTGACTAGGGCAATTCTAATTTAGCCTCGTTTCCAAGAAGCCTCTTTCCATGTTTATATCGTTACAACAATTTGTATATTTAATGCTACAATATTGTAGAATGCTTAACTTATTAGTAATACTGTAATAGGAATAATGCCCAGCATGTTGGCATCTTCCATGATATATATGCTGTCATAAGCCATCCCATGCACGTCCATAGAATGTTGAATTTGGGAACAGAATTTACAAGTGATATGAAATTTATCAATGTTGAAAAAACCGGATCGGCCCATAAAGCGGTGAACCAGTTTTCATGTTGGATCGGCCAAGTAACATAACCGGTGCGACCCAGCCGGTTTTTGAGAAAATCGGTGGCCAGGTAGGTTCAACCAGTGACCCAACTCGGTTCATAAAAAAAAAATTGTTTCCAAAAAAAAAATTCATAAAGGATATCATTTTTTTAAATTCACGAATGGCTTGTTTTCATTTGAAATATTTGAGTGCTTTGTTGCTTATTGACTTACATATGTTATGTACCTACAACACTAATATTATCTTTGGTTATGCACTATGCAAGGAATTTAGAAATATTTGGAATAATAGAAATATTTGGAATAATGATGTCGTCTTTGGTTATGCACTATGCAACCTGAAGCATCAGTATCACAAGCATTATATTTTTGTTTGGTCCTTTATTGGATAATGATGTGTGATTTATTATTTTTCATATTAAAATATTTGGAATTGGTATTATTTTTTTTACAGGTATCTGAGTATGTTTATAGTTTTTATAACACAAATTACAAATTTGCATATACTTACCAGGTCATGCGGTTGAACCAGTGACCCACTGGTTGACCAATTACTTCGACCAGGTCAATGACCGGACCGCGTTTCATAACATTGAAATTTATGACTAACTCTTCTACCCCACATGTGAATATTCGGTCAGTCAACCAGGACAAGCTAAGTTTTGAAACAAACATGGTTTAAATATTAACTTTAGTAGCTTGTGTATGCTACTGAGAGAAAGGAATAAGCCCCGCGTATATTTCCCAAAGTTTCTAGATGCCCCACATATATGCCAAGCTTCTGGTAGCTCAATCATCTTTTCCTCCCAAAATTTGCTAAGTAAAAGAAAGAACCAAAAAAAATAAAAGTAAATAAATAAAATATAATTTAACAATATTGGTCCAAATTCATCAAACCATATGCTCTTGAAAAAAATCACAGAATTACCCAGTGGGATTGATCTAGCCAGCTTATTGTTCCATAGCCCGACAGATAGTTTAAACATATGGGCATTAGAGCTGTCATGTCCAGTCCCTGGTCCAATTTGGATTATATTACTTGCAAATGCTTTAATTGAAACTGTGATCCTCCACGAAAATGATCATTCTTGTGTTTCATATTTGTGCAGCTAAATTGGGTATTTTAGTTATGCTTAGCAAACACAACTAATAGGATTACCAGCAGCAATGTAAATATGTATTTATGCATGTATTACAGCAGCATAAGAATTGATCCAGTTTGACATGCATTTGTACACGAGTAAATGTTTATTGAGAATACGGGTCCACATATATGGATAACACCATATTCTAGAGTTTTAGTGGTTCTCAGTTATCACATTGATGAACCTAATTGATGAAATGACCTGATCATGTGAATTAAATGGGATAGATAAGCAGATAATAAAGGACCAAAAATCAATCAGACTACCTCAGGTGCAATGCAATATAATGCTTGCTTCTCATCCTCATCCGATGGACCAATTTTTCACCCATTGCAAGTATAAGGTTCGTAAATCTTAAACCATGGTAATTAACTCTACATCTCAACTTCTGATACTCTGTATCCAACTTGTTTGCAAGCCTGTAATCAAACTTGTTGAGCTGAACAGCCTGCCAGAAAATGAAGCAAATAAATTAAATATCTTTCCAAGATAATCAAATGTTTAAACAGTTATCCATATATTATGGTGATCAGAAAAGGTTATCAGAATTTAAAGCATTAATACTTGGTGCTGGCTAGAGCTGTCATGTCTTCCTAGATTTCTTAAAAATCTCTTGCAGATTCAACCACACAAAATGTCCCATTTTGGTTATAATCAGGCACATGACAGTTTATAGATAATGTCTCAAAATTAAATAAAAATAGTGCAAATTATAGAAACCAGAATTTTAAGTAGGCTAAAACTTGGGAGCTTCAGGATTTGAAGATTTAATGAATCTAAGGTAGGCCATCTCAGCCATAGGATGGCTAACATGGATCAAATCTAGAGCTGTAAAGTACAGTGAACGGTATCTTTATTGTTATAAAATTTTGATGAAAACAATGGATCTGGGATCTTGCAAATAATGCCATCATAAGATTGCTTGGCTTGATAGAACAGATAAGGCTTTAAATTGAAGTAAAGGAAGAGGGATAGCCTAGCTTGACTCATTAAGTACTTAAGGCATCACACACTTGGGAGTTAAAAATCATCAGACAACCAAGAGATAGTGGCCAAAGAAGAAAATTGAAAAGCTCATTATACTAAAATTAAAGCACATAAACAGTCTAAAGCATTTTAAAACTTCAAACTATTATGATATATTCCAAGCAACAAATAACAATCAAAATGAGAGAGAGGTACATCCTTCTACTTAACAGAGAGCATCTAATAAGTTGGACAACACAATTAGCACCGGTAGAACTTTCAGGAAATAAAAAACTTACATGCTTTTTCAGGAGTACAGGTAATATGCGATTTATATAACATCTTTCATTACACTTCCTTGGAACACGCATGGAGTATGAAGATAATTTTTTTCCTCCCTTACTTGGGAGTTGCTTGATAATTTTGACATCTTTTGACAGATATGATATAAACCAATCAACATCAAAGATCTCTGAGAAGTTACTGCAAAAGGCAAAGAATGACATCATTGACTAACTAAGATACATCACTAAAATGGTATACTTCAATACTTAAAAAGCCATGTCAAATTACAATAGTACAACCGCATACACAGCCCAGACAATATATGCCCTTTCTGTAACTGACCTAGAATCTTTCCAGAAAGATCGTTGATCCAATTTTGGAACAACAAGAGTGGCATTCAAAATCCGCGCAGCAACGACAGCATCTGTAATCTGCCAGTTGCAGAAACAGAAAGATTGGCATTGATAGCTGATTATGCAAACAGTTTGCCATCAAAAAGCACCAACAACAGTTATCATATTCTGCAGTAGACTATCCTGATTTGCATTGTAACTAAACAAAAAGATTTACTGGTTTCAATTGAAGGAAATATTTGTATATTATAAAACTTAATAATATTTGTACAAGAGTTCTATATTTAAAGAGACTAAAAGACCTAATGGGCTAAGCCCAAATACACTTCTAGAGTATTCTAGCAATACAAATAAAAAATAAATAAAATAATTCTTATATTTACAACAGTTTCTGTACTCCAGGCTTTCCAACAAAAAATTTACTAAGACCTTGTTTTTCAAAAGCCAAGCAGGTACAATATAAAAAGAGAAGGCATATATTTCTTCCATAGACGCAGGCAATAACATTCTCAAGAAGATTTTAGTATCACAAAAAGATAGTTTTGGAGTCACGGCAGCTGTCATCTTGAAACATATACTGAACATGTGCCTCAAAAGTCTTTGTCATTTTTCCAAGTCTTACATGAAAACTAGCCTTCAAGAAGACGAAGGTTTCAAATAAGCGTTAAGGCATCCATGAGCAACAGACTGGAGAAAAAGGTGCCAAGCACTATATGTTCCATGATTATTTTATTTTCTGTGTCTCTCTCTTAAAAGGACAGAGTGTTATGTCATTTAAAATGACAGACATTTTTCCCTTTGTTAATATGTGGCTCCAACTTGAACAAGTTTAGTCCCTTTTCTCATTAAATGCCACATTCCTTACTACTGCAAGAGCAAGTTGGTTTTATTTGATAAACTCAATCTATGGCAGAATCTGCATTTTAATTTTTTCTTTTTTCATGTTTTGAGTTCATTTCACATTTTATTCACTTTAAGTATAAAAATAAAAAGGTCAGAAATCAGAACCATAATTTTTTTTTAAATAAAAACAAAAGCCAGACATCAAATCCATGCTTGACTATAATAATGACAAGAGTTCAGAGAGCTACCCCGGTTCTTTGTTGATTCAAGCCTCCACTCGTTGCAATCATCAAATATCGGTTCGGTTGTGTAATCACTTGAGCTTCTGCCATACAAAAAGCATAGCTATCTGTCACTATCATATATTTATATATACAGAACCGAATCCAAAGTTTCAAACGAAAAGTTTTACATCGCATCACTTGATTACTGAACCAACGATATACGCACTTGGAAACTTGTTGCTGGCATTGCTGCAGCCGTGAAAGTGCTCGGCATTTCTAGAGGTCCAAATATCGCGATCCAATTTCCCTCCACCGTTCTGGTTGTTAAATTAAAACAAAAGCACACAAATATGGAATTAAGATCCAAGAAGAGAAATGTGGAACCAACACGAAATACAAGTAGAAGCCACAGAAAGCCCTAACCGGAATGCGGAACACAGGAATTTCAATCGTATCATCGCCTTCAGCGTTAAACTGTACAATAATTTCAGACATGAGAAAAAAAAAATGTGAAGGAATATACGATCAATTATTTTGATTATCGGATACAGTGATCGGTGAGTAAATAGTGAGAGAGAGAGAGAGAGAGAGAGAGAGAGTACCGAGGTGTGTTGGCGTCTCCGGTGCGTATGATCAGTGTCGATGGGAGAAGGAGCTAAAAAGGAAAGGAGAGCGAAGAGAAAGAGTAGAGCGGCGGCGACGGCGGAAATGACCGGAATCATTGGGCTGAAGCGTTGGTAATAGTGGTGACGCCGCCGCTGAGATGCCATCTGTCGCTGTGCTTAGAAGCAGAGCAAAATGGGAGGAGACACACTAAATTGAGAAAATTATAATTTAATTTTCATTATATATAATTATTTTTGACTTAGGCGTGACATGACTATGGCATTGCTATGCTGTGTGTAACTGTAAGGAATGCGTTATGCTTATAATAGATCCGTTTCTTTCAGGCAGAGAAAAGAATGTGATAGCGCCTGGCTGGATGCTGCAACAGAAAATATTATAAAAAGCAGAGTTGGTTTTAACACTGCCTTTTCTCACTCACTGCCTTGCTATGCTAGCAGACGGTTTTCTTGGGTTTGACACTATGCTTCCTTTCCTTTGCCCTTCCTATTGCCTGAGAGAGAGAGAGAGAGAGAGAGAGCACCACTATTACTTGGAATTTCAATTTTCCCCTTGCACGTGGATTCGAATCTCTTGTTATGTTTTTGTTTTTTAATCTTCTTTGGGAAACGCCCAAACACTCTCTCTGTTCATCCTGATTGGAGGTAGTACTGAAGATTTGTTCGTGGTGCTAGATGGGGCTGATCTCCCAGTCAAAATATACATGAAATTAGTTATGTACGATTTTATATGTATCGTGGAGTACTGGAGTCCAATTATTATTTATCTATCAATATTAATAAAGAGATAGTACACAAAAATCTTACATAACCATCATGTAATTTCTCTGAAACTAGTTCGCTTTAAAAAAAAACAAAGCTGTAGGCAATAATCCAATCTAAATATTGCAAGCAAAACAGTTAGATCTTTATCAATTAATTCAATTAAAATTACATGATGGTTATGCAAAAAAATTGGGAAAAAATTCAATCTAAATATTGCAATCCAAATCGTGTATTTATTCTCTGATCTACCTAATATAAAAAATAATTTATGGGTTATATTTATTTCATTCAACATGATATAATTCATTTTTCTACACACGTAACAAAAGTAGGTTTTACCTCTATTATTTTTTTTTCAATCATTTGTGAATCCCTCTTTTAATTTTATTTCATTAACAATATAAGAAAATGATTTTTCATCATTTATATGCGGTTACTTTTTACAGACATGAAATCACGTGAAACATAAGACGCAACCTAATCTTGCATCGTTGCTTAATTAAAAATAAAAATGAACAGAGATACCAAGGAGAACCATCCTTGCTTAAACTTAAAAAAACAAAAAAAATACTAATATAGAGCAAATTTATCGTGTTTGGTTCAAATTTTGGGTTTGCGAATTTCCTTTTATTAGAAAAAATTCAAGATGATGCCTGTCACGTGTAAACATCAAAGCGATTTGCTCTTGTACTAAAAACAATTAGTCACAAGCAAGGTTGTCAAACTCGCGATTTTACGTAAAATCGTGAGGGGATAGTAAAATCGTAAATTGTAAAATCGTCACGAATCGTAAGTTTTTACTTTTAAAAATATATAATAAATATAATAATATCCAACTAACATTATAAATAAAAAGACACAACAAACTCATAACAAAAAATTTAGAGACTAAGTGCTTAGAGTACAAAGTTCATCAAATTCTCAAAGTTAGCGTCGTCGTCATCTCCCACGGCAACTTGTACTTGTTCTTCAACCATTTCTTCTACTTCCAAGTTTACAACCATGTTTTCTCCGCTTTGGATTCCCACCATGTTTTCTTCAATTTGAGTTTCTAAATCCTTGTTTTTCTCTTGGGCCAAATCGATTTTTTTTCCAAATTTTTTTTTTTTTTTGCCATCGCTGCTCATGAATCGCAACTCGTCCTAAATCGTACGAGTTTGCGATTTTGCACAGTAAAATCGCGATTTTAACGAGTTTACTCAGAATTTCGATTTTACTACCGATTTAACTCGCCAAACAAAGTAAACTCGTAAAATCGTACGATTTTACGAGTTAAATCGCGATTTTGATAACCATGGTCACAAGATTAATTATCTCAATTTTTTTACCAAAAAATAATTATCTCATTTTTGTCATTATTTTATTTTACAATGTTTACTAGTAATTAATTTCAATGTCATTATTAATTTATTGTTATTGTATTAAACTTAAATTTTAAAAATCCATTTTAAAGTAAGTCCATCCAATGTTATTAAAATCGGCCCGGTTATTGATCCGGTCGAGGTACTGGGTCACTGGTTCACTGGTTCAACCAGTGGGTCACTGGTTCATCCGCATGACCCTGTAATTATATGCAATTTTATAATTCATATTAAAAAATTATAAACATATTCAAATATCTAAGCAAAAATGACAAAAAAATTCAAATATTTTAATATAAAAAATGATAAATCACGTATTATTATACAATAAAAGATCAAACAAAAATATAATGATCGTGATACGAGGCTTTAGGTTCAGAAAATAACATCTCTAACTATAAATCAAATCAAAATTTTCTGCATAGTGCATAATTGAGATAATATTAGTGTTGTAGATACATAAATTATGTAAGTCAATAAGCCAAAAATATATTTAACTATGTCCATTATGATTTTTTTTTTTGAAAAAAAAATTTGGAATTTTTTTTTGGATCGGGCCGGATCACCGACCGGGTCACCGGTTTTCATGAAAATCGGCCGGGTCGGACCAAGTCGCACCGATTTTGATGCATGACCAGTCTGTTACTTGAACCGGACTGATTATATGACCGATTTACCGGTTCACAGATCGACCCGGCCGGGTCGGTTCGAGTTTAATAACACTGAATCCATCACTGTTAATTCTATTTTAATTTCACAACATAGTCAGGTAATCATTAAGGTTGAAATGACGTTTTGCTTGTACTTTTGACGCATTAAATTCTGTGAAAGAATTTTTGGCTGTGAAAGTATAAATTAATAATTATTCTTTTCTCATCTTTATTTTAGGAAAAAGTTTTAAAACTCTCTTGTATAGATAGGTTAACCTATTCGATAGAATAAGAGATAAGTTATTCTAACTATTTTTTTTTATCTATTATTTTTTATTTTTAATATCATTAGATGAGAATCACAATAGAAAAGAAAAATAACAATAGTAGTTAAAATTCTGATATAATAATATTAAAAAATAAGAGACAAAAATAGAGAGAAAAAATATAACTAGAATAACATATTTCTTGTTCTATAATCATTTAGACTTATGTATTTTTTTTATCACTTAGTTTCCTTATAAATTTTTTCATCCAAGTCCACTGTTAATGTCATTAAATATTGTGTTGATTTATCCATTTTGCCCTTATAAAAAATAAATAAAACACAGAGAAAATAAGTGATTAAAAAAAACATAAGGGATATTTTAAACTTTTTCTTTATAACAATTAAAAAAAACTTGATATTAGGAACAATATAGAACTCAACAAATTATTAGGGCAGACCATTGCAAGTGAAAGGTGTTGACGTGTTGTGTTCAACATCATTCACATCCGCTTTTATGTTTCATTTACATGTGGATTTTTTTTTTTTTTTGGTAAAAATTTACATGAGTATTTTATATTTGTTGGGTATTGAATTTGAATACATTAATTTTGTATATTTTTATAGTTACTCCAGAAAAACTATTATTGTCTTAATATTTTTTTATTTTATCTATTTATTTTTAAAAAATTAAAAAATATATTAGAATTAAATAATAGAAATAGAGGACCCTTTAATAAATCTATTAACATTTTAAAAAATTAAGAACTTTACATTATCTAATCCTAATTTAATTACATTACAAAAGTGTCACAAAAAAATATATAACAATGTTCATTTCAATTCTCAATTTTTTCATAAGGAGGCATTAATTTTTTTTTCTTGGGCAACAAATTCTAGTGATTGTTGAACATAACACCCGTTATTTGCAATGGTCATATACTCTCATTAGCTCGTTGAGTTTGAAATTGTTTCTCACGTCAAGTTAAAAAAATTAATTGTTATAAGGAAAAAGTTCAAAATCTCTCGCATGGTTTAATATTTTATCACTTACCCCATTACATTTTCTTTTTTTAATTGTTTACCTCTCTATTGTTTTTTTTTAATTGCTCATGAGGGCAAAATGAATAAATTAATCCAATATTTAACAATGTTAAAAGTGGACTTGGATAAAAAAATCGAGATAAGTGATAGAAAAATATATAAGATAATTTATTATATAGCAAACCAAAAGGGTTTTTGAACTTTTCCATTTATCTTATTACATTATTACATCATCATTAATTTGTATTAAAATGATCACATAATATCATATCATGTAAATTGAGTCCCACATTTCACCGTTCATCCCTTTCCTGCGCTCATAATTCACCAACTCTTGTCTTTCTCTTCCCAATATGAAAGGTTTAATATGGGTGAGAGAAAGTTAAGAATGAAAAACAATTTGTATGTTTAACATTTTTCATCACGATATAATTCAATTTAAACATTCTTAAATGTTATAATTTTTTTAAGAATTAGTTATTTTATATTTTTTTAATAGTAATTTTACTTCTTCTTTTTTTGATAAATAAAAGTAATTTTACTTAGATATAAATAACATTGGACAAAAACCTTATACATAATTACATATATTAATCCGTGTGGTGTTATCTTCCGAAATCAAAATGGAATTGATAGTGGTGAATTAAAAAAAATGGAATTTTAGAATTATGATTAGTGCACTAATAATATATAAAGGGAAAAATATTTGTGCTTTTGAAGGATATAACTTTGTGTCATTTTAGATCTTAACCGTTGATTTTTGTCAATCAACGGTTAGGATTTATTGAGTTTTATTGCGAATTAATAATTAATTAATAAGTTTGACTCAATAACTCCTAACCATTGATTGACGAAAATCAGCGGTTAGGATCTAAAATGATACAAAATTTTATCCTTTAAAAGAACACACATTTCCCCATAAATTATTAGTGATATTAAAATTATTTAATTATGAAAGTTACTCGATGGGATGAATTAACTATGTGGCTGATTGTGTATTTTTTTTTAATAAATCACATGTATTCTTCGTAGGAGGCAATCCTATTCGAGTGGGTTCATGATTAAAACATTAAACCCCTCCAAAAAATGGTACCGAAAATGATGGAACATATGCTCTTACCTCACCTGTTCAGCTCTTATGCACCAACTAAGCTACCGTAATTTGGTATGGCTGATTGTGTTTTAAATAAAATGAAAATTGTTTGGGAGTAAATAGATTATATCAGAATTCTTTTACCAAAAAAAAAAAAGATTATATCCGAATTCGGCTCAAATAAGTTAAATTTTAAAAAACAATTTGAGGTATGATCTCTATTAGGGGTGAAACTGGGCCGGGCCAGCCTACAGGGGCCTACGGCTCGGCCTACGTCAGGTCAGACCTAACTTAGTATATTTCGTAAAACAGGCCGGACTTGGGCTTTGAAAAAGCTTGTTTAATAAAAAGGTCGTAGGCCCACTTTCATAAGGCCTGGCCTATAAGCCTACAAGCTGGCCTATATTGTACTATTTATTTCAAATAAAATAAAATATGATAAATATAAGAAGAAATAAAAGATATAAATTTAATCAATTGTAATTATTTATAACTTAATTATATTCAATTATATTTTAATAGAAATTTGACTTTATTTCTTATGTAGGAAGAATCAACATCTCAACATGTTAGATTGTGTATATGAATATATTAAAAAAAATTTGAGAGAGGTTATACTTACTACAAGCATTATGATATGTTTGTTAGATTCATGTAGTTATTTTAATTTACATAGCATGAATTTGTTTGTTGGATCTGAAATATATGTTATTTAGTTTGAGCATTTTGCTTTTGAAAGTGACTTAAATGCATATTGTATGAGTTTTGTTGTGATTTATGATTCTGTTTGGACGTTGAAATTATGATTTCTGGTTTAGCAGCGAAATTTGAGTATTTTGTAAAGTTGATTCATGGTTCTGCTTGGAAGTTAAAAATTAACAGGCTAACGGGCTAGGCCAGGCCATTCACTTTTTAATAAACGGGCCAAGTCAGGCTAACAGTTAGACTCATATAAGGTTTGGGCCAGGCCAAATTGAAATTTTTTGACGTAGGCTTGGACTTTTCGAGGCAAAGCTTGGCCCAGCTCAGCCCACTTTCACCCCTAATCTCTATCAACGACGGACCAAGATTTTTATAATAGGGGCCGAAATAAATTTTTTGAATATTATAAGTATTATTAAGATTAATCGAAGATACTAATTGTAACACCTCTTTAGGCACTAGTGTTTAACATTGCATAGTATTAAGCGTAGCGTAATAATAAAATTAAATTACTTATTAAATCATATCTTAAATGAAATATATTTAAAATTTAATTATACATTAGTCAAAAATTAAATTTACTATTACATCATATCTAAACCGAGAAGAAATGAGACTAGCAAAAAAATTGACAATAAATGTTTTTATTTCGTCAGTCACTCCATTGATCTTCGTACAGTCTTCAAAGTCTTTAACTATAGTGTTTTACTCTACTCCAAAGCTACACATACTGGCCTGTTGATTCACTATAAAGGTTAGCATAAAAACAAACACATGTGAGATAAATTTCAGTAATATTGAGATTTTTGAACTATAATCAATCTATGCACTTCAGTGAAAAATATCACTCTCCAAAAAATATTTATAATAAAAAAATAACATCATGAATAATAAATATAAGCCAGACCTTTGTGGGTTCCTCATTTAGACATACCCAGACATTTGTGTATTCTACCTAAACCTTTGTGGGTTCTACGTACAAACATACTCAAACCTCTGTGGGTTTCTGGATACAAAGGAACATCTAGTCTTTACTTGAAATGACTAATGTTCAAGTTTTGTGGGTTTTGTAAGTGAAAGGTTCTATATAGCGGAGCTCAAGCCATGATAAGATATTCCCTATCATATAACTATCTAATCCCTAGTGGACAGTCAATCATAATAATTCAGTAAACGATCACATATTTCGCTAATATCCTATTGGTATTGAAGAAATTTCTTGGTTATATAATCTTAATTCTAAATCATTATCATAACTAATATGAATAAATTTACAAATTCAAAGATAAAAGATAAACCAAAATAATAAAAAAGATTCATAAGGAAATAATTGGACAAAGTAACGATGCTTTCATAACTTTTAAATAAATAACTTCAAAATATAATCTTTACATATAAAATAAATAAAAAAGAATAAAATTATGATAATGATATTTTCTCTCAATATTACCTTACTTTTTATTTTCTCATTTCCTTATTCTTTCCCTCTATTTCTTTCTCCTTTATTTTCTTTCATCTCTTCCTATTCTCGTTTATTCTTTCTTTTCTCTCTTCTCTCTTTTCTTCTCTGTTACGCGCTTTCTCTCTTTTCTTGTTTTTCTTTCTTTATCAGGCGTGTACCTATTTATATAGATAAATATTTTGACTCTGGTGACTAAAGTAATTATTGCACATAGTTAGATTTTAACAAAACTAACCAAAATTTAATTAAAATCTAACTAACATTTAACTAAGTAATCATTACCTAATTTTTTTTTAGATATTTTTATCTTACAGGGTGTCTCCACAAGATACTGTTTCATTTTATTAGAATTTATACTTGGTAATACAACATGGCGCTTTCAGCATCAATTTTATATCGATTTCTAGTTTGTGACGTTTGTTGCGGCATTCTGGCGCTTTTTGCGCGGTGGAACTGTTCATATGAACAGTACTATTGAACAATAATTTTTTTTGTGTGGTATTACACTAACTATTATAAATATTTTTTAGGGAGGGATTAATTATTAGTACTAATAGAGTAATAGGCTATTATTATTAAAAAAATTGTTTTGAAAAAAATATTTCTCAGAGATAGCTTTATCTTATGAGTTATATTTATCTCATTTAATATCAGATAAATCAAATTCCTACACACTCATAACAAATGTGGGTCTACATCTATTTTTTCTCTTTTCAATTATTTGTAGGTCTCTTTTATAATTTTGTTTCACTAAGATAAGATAATTTATCTATAACAACATAAGAAAAATGTTTCCCTTATTTTATATATAAAATAAAAAAAAAATTAAAATTTAGAAAGAGATGACCACCGGTACTTATTCTTCTCTCGGTTTTTTCACAATCTTTCGTAGTCATACATGCTAAATTATAGACATAATTTGACTTATTTTTAAAAAATAAACAAATTTGACATAATTAAATTTATCATGGAAGTTTATAAAATATTATTTTATTTATAAAAAAGATGCAAATTTTTTTAAAAAAAAAGTTACAAATGGCGTACGGTGATATGATATGCGCCTTATTTGGGTATTTTTTTTAATAAGCAGTAAGCGCCAAGTAAAATATTTAAGTAAATTTTTTAAATATTATTTTTTTGATAATATTAATTTTGTAAACAACCCTCCAACGAATTTATTAATTAAACCATCATACATTTTTTTGTCGATAAAATGTGCTTTGTCACCATTTTTATCCGTATATGTTAAAGAAACTTATTTGATTGAGAATTAAATTGAATGGTAAAATGATTGTATTCAATTTAATAACAATAAAGAAATATCTTTTTAACATCAACCAATCATACCAAACAATATTTTATTAATTATTTATGAGCGTAATATTGATCCAAGAGTCAATTAAAAAGTCTATATAATAACAAAATGATGCTGTATCTATTCCTTTTTAATCATTGAATCAAAAAATAAATATAAAATATAAAACAGAAATGGAAGAAATTAAGAAAATTTTTAATCCGTACATGGCAGGTGCAAAGCACGTGCGTACCTCATCCCTGGGAAGCAGGAACCAAAGCAATGCCGCTCCATTTCCAAGGGAACTCTGAAATAAGTATTATGTATGGTACAGAGAGAGGTGATAGCTGAAATTATTCGATGATGTATTTGTTCACAGGGAAACCCTCCTTTATACCTCAATTACTCCCTTCTTCTTCTTCTTCTTCTTCGAATTCTACTTCGTCGTCATGTTCAACATCTCTTGTATCTTTCCGAACTATTTCTGACTCATCAATTAGCTTTCCCAGAAATGCAAAGCATAAAAGAAGATTTGCTTTGAGAGTTAAAGCATATGATTCCTCCAAAAATGACACTTCTAACCCTGCTGGCGACTCCAAGCCCCCCAATGGCACTCTGGTACTGTTTCAATCTTACCCCTATCTACCCCATTTTTTATTTTTGAAATAAAAATTTAAAAGTATTAATTTTTAATGTTATATATTATTATTTCAAAGAATGCCCTTGGAGTAGGTTTGTGTGAACCTGATTGAATGCATAGGGCATAGATAGAATCATGTTTGCGTCCCTACTACTTATTGTTGTTGGGGATCACTATCAGTGCCTCAATGTTATTTTTCATAATTTTGGTAGATATAAAATTAAACTAGGAATACTCAAAATAATTTTTTTAAGAAAAGAATTCCTAGTATGTAATCGTGTCTACTGTCTAAGTAGTTATCTTGTTGTGTTCCTGATGAGTGACTATACGTTCTGAAATCACCAGTCAAAGAGCAGGAGAGAAATTTTACTGGAATATGTTAAGAACGTGCAGCCAGAATTTATGGAATTGTTTGTGAAAAGAGCACCTCAACAGGTATGGTGTTGTTGTCTTGCTATGAACATGGTACTGATCACTGTTTATTGATTGCCCCGTAGGAGTGGTTATTGTTTGTTCATGCCATACTCTTTTGATGATTGAAACTGCTGTTGGTGATTAGGTTGTGGATGCAATGCGACAAACAGTGACAAATATGATTGGAACATTGCCCCCTCAATTTTTTGCTGTAACAGTTACCACTGTAAGATTTCTATGAGTTTTCTCCCTGCTAGCTTAACTTTTACTATCATTTAATGATAAGCAGTTTCTGCAAGCTATGATGGTTATATTTGGGTGGATAGACAATAATGGTTGCTTTGATGAAATGTTTCTATGAAGTGGGAGACTTTGCTTTGCCTGATGTACTAGTCCCTGAAATTTTGATTTTCAATTACAATCCCCCTTTATATGGGCTGTGCAATCATACTTGTTTTTATTTATTTAGTAAAACGCTAAAAATTCATAATTTTTTTAAAAATTCAAAATTATACTTATTACTTTTGCTGCCATCTTTTTATTTCCCTTATCTGTTAACTTTTTTTGCGTAGTAAACCCCAATTTCAGAGCCTTTTATAGATTCTTCTCCTTACATTACTTCTTGTCTGAGTTTATTGAGAAACATTATTGATACTAATGACTTTTCTGCTGGTGGAAGAATAACATTGTTTTAGCACAAGGTGGTCCATTTGGCAAAGCGATATTGAACCATGCAGCTGGGTTGAATTGCTGTTCTTCCTTTTTGCTTTATCTTGCTCCATGCATCTTACTTATTTAGTTGAATCATTTGGTTTTTTATTTAGGTAGCTGAAAACCTTGCACAGCTCATGTACAGTGTCATGATGACTGGGTACATGTTCAGGAATGCGCAATACCGTTTGGAGTTGCAAGAAGGTTTGGAAAAGGTTGCCCTTCCTGATGTGCATGATAAAAAGGTAACATCATGTCTCTTCCTTCTCTTTTTGGGTTCTGTGATTCAAAAGACATTGCATGGATATTTGGAAGGGTGAGTTTTACTTGTTCTGGTGGTCAGATGACTTCTTATTTGGACCTTTTGGTCCAGTAGTCTCCTGTCCTTTACTACCTTTCCCTATTTAGGATTCCAGTTGGGGTGCCTTAGAGGAAAGAAGAAATTGTGAAGGACTTTCTTTAGTCTTTTGTGTGGACTAGCAGAAAAGAGATAATCTTGTTATTAGGATGGTTAGTTTCAGGCCTTAGAATGAAGTGATTAAGTCTTGGGAATTTGGTGTTGAATAAATGGCTTTGACGGCTAAGTATCCATAGTGTTTGCCTTTAGAGACTGCATCACTATGGCACCAAGTAAATTCAGAGTGAGAATGCTTTAGTTCATATATTCTTTAATTTATACTCTTAAAACGTTGCAGGATATGCCTGACTATGCACCTGGTACACAGAAGAATGTTTCAGGTGAAGTCATTCGGTGGAACAATGTTTCTGGGCCCGAGAAAATAGATGCTAAAAAGTACATTGAATTACTTGAAGCGGAGATTGAGGAGCTGAATCTCCAAGTTGGGAGACAATCTAGCAATGCACAAAATGAACTGTTGGAATACCTAAAATCTCTTGAGCCTCGAAATTTGAAGGTTAATTCTACTTACATTTTGCAAATATAAAGTACTTATTTGCCTTTATCCAGCTGATGTGTGCTGTCTGCTTCATATAAGTTTCTACATGTTGATATGTACTGTAGCTCTAATTGGGATTAATTCGGAAAATGTGGGCTAATGCAAAATGTATTGTCCATTGAATATTGATTTCTGCAATTGTTGAATCAGTATTGAACATTCTGAAATTGCATTTCTGTTCAGAACAAGGTATTGGTTCAGTGTTAATGTACTCATCACTTAGTTATATATAAATTTGACATTCCCATTCAGATTATTCAACTTAACGAATTTAAGTTTTCCTCTTAGAATTTAGAAGCATCATTTATTGTAATATGTCAATTATATGCCATAATAACACTTCAATTATTTGTAGGAGTTGACTAGTAGTGCTGGGGAGGACGTTGTGTTTGCAATGAACACATTTATAAAGCGCCTACTAGCTGTTTCAGATCCTAGCCAAATGAAGGTTTCCCTCCTCAGTATCTCAATCTCCTTTTTTTGTCTTTTTTCTTAATCCCATCGTTAAAGGAGACTTCATTCCACCTGACCCCTGTCCTCTGTCAAAGTTGTCTAACTTCTTTAAATTACTATTGCCCTACTCACCATAATCGTTTGGGTTAACATTGAATGCTTTAATTGTGGAATTCTTTCTTTCTTAGGGGGTGTATGTCTGTTAAGTGTTTACATGGAAGATGGAATTCCTTTTTTTTGGGTACAAAGTTCAAACTCTTATTTTTTTTTTTTGGTGAATCAGACTCTTATTAATTGAACAGAAAGTTGCTCAGGAATGCACATTTGACAGCAACTCCACTAATCATTGCTACCTGACGATAAAATATATAATACTTCAAATAAGGGTGTTTGAATTATTGAACTTGTAGCATGTGCTCTTTAACTGTGCGAACGGGGTTAAAGCATACAGGGGTAAGATTTCCTGACTAATAATTTGGTCTTGTGATAGATTTTAGGTAAATTGGTAATGATTTTTATTTATATGAACTGAACCAGAACTAGATTTCTTCCAATTGATTTTTGGACCTATATGTGATTCTTGTGAGGAGGTGAACAGCCTTCTCTTTGCTCGTTATTACTGCAAGTAGTATCGTTTGGGATTTTTGTGTAACTTGCTTCAATCCTGATTTATAGACTAGCGTGACCGAGACTAGTGCATCTGAACTTGCCAAACTGCTTTCTTGGTTGATGGTGGTTGGGTACAGCATTCGCAATATTGAAGTTCGTTATGACATGGAGAGAGTACTCGGCACTCCTCCAAAGTTGGCTGAATTGCCGCCAGGTGAAAATGTTTAAGCAGTGTTGATAAAGTCAATCATCAAAAATACTGCTGTCCCCAAGTTGGAGCCAAGTTCCCTAACTAGATTTTGCACTTTTTAGTTGATTGGCTGAAGGCCCAGTCATGACCTAAAGGAGAAGGCTGCATTTTTCAGAGGCCCTGAACTATTGGTCTGCTAATAGTATTTTATTCAGTTATATTCACAAGATTCTATCTTTTGGTTTTTATTTGATTTCTTTGACAGTCTAAGTCCTGAACTATGGGATTGGTTCTTGTTTGTATATCTTTATTATATATCTTATCAAACTCCCATTTTGTAGGTGCAGCACAGCTACTTATTTATGTGGTAGCTATAAACGTTTTAATCATATTTGTTGTGATATTCATGAATGGTTAGAGTATTACTTAGATTTTCATCTTTGGACTGTTGGGGATGGAATTACTTTGATGATTTGTACAAGCATTTTTGTTTCACTAAATTACTATTCCAGATATATCATGGTACGGATACCATCATTGCTTTTTTTCTAGGAAAAGAAATTCACGACCCGTAGGCCTTCTACCCCACGCGGCATTGCTCCATTAGGCTTTCGCTCATTGCGAAAAATTCCTCATTGCTACCTTCCATAGGAGTCTGGGTCGTGTCTCAGTGTGGTTGATCATCTTTTCGGACAGCTACTGATCATCGCCTTGGTAAGCTATTGTCTCACCAATTAGCTAATTAGACGCGAGCCCCTCGGGCGGATTCCTCTTTTTGCTCCTCTGCCTACAGGTATTATCGGTCGTTTCCAGCTGTTGTTCCTCTCGTAAGAACAGGTTCTTACGTGTTACTCATTCATCTGCCATCGAAAACACCACTTCCCGTCCAACTTGCACGTGTAAAGCATTCTTTCATCTTGAGTCAGGATCGAACTCAATGAGATTCCTAGTTGCATTGTAGACAAAGTTGATTTGGAATTCTCTTTCAATCCCCCCCCCCCTCGAAACCTCCGTCAATCCCGTGAGCCTTTTATCCATTCTTAGTTGTCATTCAATCATGGCATCCAAATAGAAAAATGCACATTAGGTTTAAAGATAATCAGGCTCGAACTGATGACTTCCACCACGTCAAAGGACACTCTACCATTGAGTTATACCATTTTCCTTGCCTTGAGAAGTTTTAAAGACAGCAATGTTGTTGGTTAATTTTATAGGGTTTCGATTTTCTCATGCAGGAGATATGTATCTCATGCTATAGACACATTTTGCATGAGACACACATCTATTAAAAATAAAAAATAAAAAAAAATATTGTACAAAAATCGAAAGGTCAGTTGTAGGAGAGAACAACTCTCCTATAACATGAGAAATTTTTTCCCCAATTTTATAATACTTTCATTTCATTACCCAATACGATATGGGCGTTATAAGCTACTGTATTTGACACAGGCAATTTCTTTGGTGGATTTCATGATAGATATTTTCCAGTAGTTTTCTCCCAAATGAATTATATAAAGGTGAAGTTTAATAACAACTGAGTTGTACCATAAACTATAAGTTAAACCAATCAACAGCTACAACATATGGTGAATTCGTACACCATAACTTCTTGAGGTCCATGACGTTGTAATTGAAATGAACTTCACCCAATACTGAAACGATAGGTCTGATATTTGGCATCTAAAAAATAAACAAATTTAGGCAAGCATCCATGAACGTAGGGAAATATGTGAAACATAATATGTGAATACATACTACCCCTCAGTATCTTTGTATGTAAATACAAAAAGGAATTAAATTAAAAAACAAATTCTGATATCTATTAATTTATCTTCTCTCACACGTGCACACGAGCAAGGGAGATCTAGCGGTGAAAAATTAAAGAGTAATTTTACTGTCCCTAAACTCCATCCTCCAAACAAGGAAGTCAATCTGAACCTGAGCTTCATTCCCAAACAATATACAATTGGCTTTCTTCTGAATTCCTTGACCGATAACAGAATTCAACTGCCATCCCATCAAAAGTCTTGAAGGGGAAAATGATGATTTGGCCACTTCGGGTATGCACGTTTGTATAAATTCATACATACAGTATCACGCTGTTCAAGAACCCCATTGAGAAGGCACTTAATTGCTCCTGAGCAACAATAAACAGAATAGGATCAAATATCATATATCCCATCATTCCTGTGTATATTTGACTCGTTGAAATATGAAAAGAAAAACATAAAATACTTAACAACCAAAAAAAACTATAAAGTACCAACCTTAATCCACAAAATAATAAACGATTAATTGATTATCATTAGTTCTGTGAAATTTAGATACTCATTTACCAATCCTCATAGGACCCAAGGAAAAGCCATTTGAAATCGGATGAAAAAATGGATACAATTGTGTTTACAAGAGTTGTGTAACATTACTCTTTCAAACATAATATTGCAATCAATATTCAATAGTGGGGCAGATCTAATAATCTTAATTGTATTTTATCTGACTAGTTCAACTTTTTCCACTAGTCCCCATATACTACTAGTCCAAGCACAAGAAGATCTTGGGGTAGGAGGTAAATTCAATTTGGTAGCATAACAAAATCCTATAATGGAACAAGAATTTTTCGGGAAAAGAAAATTATGAAAAATAGATCAAAATAATGGGTCATAATGAGAATCATGGAATGCACAAGTACATCCTCAGCAGCTAGTGATTTTATTAAAATGACTAGCTGCCAGAATGTTTATCGTAAGATTTATGGTAGAGCTTTCTAACATAACCAACATACCATGTGTACCAACAGGTTCTTTAATTCGCCCACGAAGCCCACGTTTGGAATAAAGCTCTATAGGCTGCAATCACCACACCCACATTAAGAACAATTAGGGTTACAATTGAGAAAATTTATAAGATAGTAGGCTCTTTCAATACTCTGCACTATCACTCAAGCAAAATCTAAAGATTCCAGAAACGGGGTAAACATATTTTCTCACCTTAAACCATTTAACATCCTCTGGATTATAAAACATGTGTTTAACAGAGGCTTTACGTTTTGATACTCTTTGGGGGTAACTGCACCACAAAATGATTAAAGAGTTCAAATAAGAAAAGCATAAGTTCCATCATCAATTTTCATAAAGGTCATACAACTCTGAAATGGTAATATTTAAATTCCATCCCAGAATCAGTATCGGAGAGACGTCAATCAAAAAGAACATAGAACCAATGAAGTAAAGTAATATGCAAGGTTTTCAAACGATGGGTCTTGACAAATATCAACAGACATACCCTGTCAAAATAACCCGCTTAAGGATTATCCTATCTGGATCAATGGTTTTCAGTGAGCCAACAGCAGCCACTGCAGGTGTAGCATCCTCTCCAGATCTCTTAAGGATTATTGAAGGAAGAGGAGGAAATGAAATTGGTGCATAAATTGAAGCAACTGAAAAGCGCCCAGCATGGAGAAACCTCTCCATCTTGTTCTTGTTTGTATTTATGAACTCACTTGAGAAAATTGGCCTGCGAAAAATTAACAACTACCCCCTAAAGATTTTTTCCTCAAGATCTATTATAAGCCATGGTTGTTCAAATTGAATACCATACCTGCCAACAAATTGCCGAAACCCTACATGAAATATCAACTCTTCCTTGGATTTGATGGGTGCCTCATATGTTTCGTGCTTCTTCACACTAAACAACACAAGTGACTTCAGTTCATGACTCATCCTTTTTGAATACTCAGAAAGGAACACAACTTATAGTAAGTAGGGCACCAAATAGCACTGACAATGAAAATATTAAAATTATAAAGAAAAAAACACCTGAAATGAAGGACAGATACTTTGGACTCATGCTTCAACAGGCCACATGCTGTAATTGGAATTGTCTCTGCCAGCACACATAACTTAGAAGCAACAGCACTGGGCACTTCCTTGATATGCAGCCTAGCATATGAGCCAACTGGAATACAGTCCTCCCTGTTTTCTTGCTCCGATTCTAAAGCTTTAGCAAGAACATGTTTTTGTGTTCTTCTAAAGTTATCGAAGTCAAAAATTCTGGCATAATCTTGGGGTAGAGATTCCTGATATCATTAGGAATATCAGATTTTTTTGCTGTTAGAGATAATGATTTATTATAAAGAATCTCCGAAAGATAGACATACTTTAGGATCCCATGAAGAAGTCCTAAAGGATTTGAGTCCCCTATATTTTGCAAACCGCTTCCTAGCAGGTAAATCCAATGGTGTATCCACTTCATCAGGAAATTCTGCAGCAAAAAAATAAACAAATGACAAGCAACAAATCAAAAAGAATATCATTATATCAGCAATGCAACTACAAATCATCCATAGGCTCTGGCTCCCAACAAAGTACAAAAGGTAGGAACAAGAAAGTATAAACCAAACAGAAAACGAATTTAAATTTACATACAATTTTAGACACGGGCAGGCTAAACATTGATGCCTCTTTTAAAAAGGCAACCGTGACAAATAAATACTAATAAGAATAGAACAGAAAAGCACCCTCATCTGCGGCATGCGCTTCTTTAAGTTCCTTAAGTTCATCTTGTATCTTCTCTTTAGTCAAATTATCTACTTCCTGTAATACAACAGAAAAGTAATCATATAGTGATGAAATAGATTAGGATCCACTGACACCATGGAACTCATAATTAGTCTTGCACAAATGAATAACTGTTGGTTGGATGAAATTCTCACAAAATCTACCACTGAGTTGAAAATTTGTAGATGTCCAACATGCTCATAAAATTTAATATAGATTTCAACTTTGTTTACCACTAAGTGTTTTTTAAAATTAATGAATAATATACTTTTCAGACAAACAAAAATAACAACTACTTGATCGTATATTTATGTTATATTTAAATTTCCTAAAATCTAGCATGCAGGATCTACATAATTAGTTGTAACTCAACAGTTGGATTGATCGAAATCATTTTCTTTAAGGCTTTTTTCAGTGGTGTAAGTGTATCAAGTCTTATACCAGTTAAATCCCTACAATACATACGCGCGCGTTAAAAAGAAGAAAAGCTAATCAGACACCTAGCCATGGGCCAGGATTACCATATTGCAATTCCTTAACATATTTAAAATTACTATTAACTCAAAGCTCACAATAATAATTGAATATACGTTGTGCAACATAGGCAAGATTAATTGATAAAGCAGCACTGTCCAATGCTTGAAGTGTTCAAATCCAGAATAAAATAAAATAAAGGACCAGAGACTGTCCAATGAGGCCAAAGACCAATGACGTTTTAGAAGCTCACCATCATCACTGAATCATTGTCAGTTTCTTCCTCAGAATCTCCAAATCTAAGTGAAGCTTCATCACCATCGAATTCTAAATACTGGTTTCCCTCTCGACCAGGAAGCCCATCTTCCATTTCATCCAACACCATGCCATCATCATCTTCATTGTCACAATCTGACTCCTCATCAGAATAATCAACAATCCAAGCAGCCTGAAAATTTAAATAAAAGCCAGATAATTATTATTTCCATACTAGATATTTGGAAGGCAAAACATTTAAAAAAGCATCATTAAAATATTTAAAATAAAAAGGGCAACAAGAAAGCACTTAGAAATTAGTGAATCAAGAAAACAAGTTCAAACCTGATATTCTGAAGTTCCTCGAGGAAGACTTCTCTTTCTTATCTTCTTTTGCTTTTGATCTTCATCAGCCTCCGCGATTTCAGCCTCTGTTGGCCATGTCTAGTAACAAGAAATGAAATCATACCCAAGACATTAAACAAAAAGATATTACAAAATAAATAAACATGGGGGCAGGGGGACTTTTTCTCAGCTCAGAAAGTGGCAATAACTGATAGGTCATTTTGACTAATCAGAGCTGGGCATTAGTTGGTTTTGGTTCGGCCAAATCTTACAACCACTATAATCGTAGTACTCTTTCAGTCCCCCCACCCCCACCAAAAGAAAAAAAGAAAAAAAATAATAACAACCATCTGAAGCAATGCGTTGATTTATAATAGTACTCAAATAATACTGAACACTCATAGAGAGAAGTTGCCTATAAACTACAGGAACTTGCCAGCATGAAATTTTCAACTGTCTTTCAATTTTCAGAGATTCCAAATCTAGCAAGATGAACTACCAAACTCCACCAAGTAAAAGGCAATGTTAAAAAAAGATAACATGAGAAAGAATGAGAGAGAATACAATAGCAAAGAATATTGTCATAGTATAAAAATAAAATCAACAAATAAACTAAGCTTTATAGAGATGAGATTTTATTATTACCTGCTCTCCAGCAAGAGGATCCGGTATATTCTCAACAACTAAAGCTTCCTGGTTTTGAAGATCTGGAACGAGAGAACCAATGACCTGAAACATTAAAATGGAGGAAAAGTGGGGAAAAAGTAAACACATAAATACATCAACATGAACAACTTCATCCCAAACACGTAAATATAAATATATGGTTAAATACAGCAAGATATTAAAGGGTAAATTTTTTTGAAAGATCACAATATCCAAGGATTGCATGAACAGCAGATATTAACGTTTCAGTACATCAAACTTAAGAGGGGGAGGGATATGGGTGATTTCAGATTGACAAAAAACTGTCATTTGAATACTATGTTGCACCGACACAGACAAAGGATAAAGAATACGACACGACACTCCGACACGTTAATTCTAAAAAAATTTAGATTTTGACACGTTAGGATACGTTTTGATATTAAATAATATTTTTAATTTATATAATGCATATTATATTTAATAGTAGATAATTTAACAAAAAAATGAAATTAAACTTATAATACTCATCAATTTTACAAAGAAACATAAGATATCACAAATATTTATATTAAACTTAATAAAATGGTAATAGGAGTCCAACGAATCTAATAGTTGGAACTAAAAACGCAACACAACACAATCTTTGAACCCTTTTTTGAGTCTCTGCAGCGCGTATTAGAGTGTTGGGGAGTGTCAGACACGACACGTCAAGTTTTTTGAAGTGTCGGTGCGTTGTAGTTTGAATATTGAATATCAATCAAAGGAAAATTAATTTACCTATTCCCTTTTACTTATTAGATGTGGGACTACCATATATGAGAGAAAGAGACTAGTTAGTATAATACTTATCAATTTAACATTGTTATATACATATATTTCAATATTCATTTACATGATTTTATTAATATACTTAACATACGTATATTATATTTTAAACATATTGGTATATATTTACATAATATATGTACAAAACCCAGTTGAACCTCAAAACCTTAAGCCTCTTCCTTTAATAGTTTAATGACAAGTTCAGTTGCGAAAACTGGGCAAAAGCACATACCTCCATATCACGCTTTTCATCTGAATCCATTAAGTTCAGATTTTTCCTTGAATTCAAAGGAAAAGGATCCTTAAGAACTTCAATTTTACACAATTGGAAATCTCCAGCACCTGAAACATGAACCTGACAAAACAGCATGTGAGACAACCAATAAATCAATGCAACTATAAATGCAAATCCATGACCTTGCTTACTACCAGTTGATTCACTGAGAGGCTACGAGCACGAAGGTAACCGGTGAGAAGGAGGGTGCATTTTTCAGAATTGCCATCATACACTGCATTAACCTGTAATTTAGGGTGGTAAACAATGATAAAGTCAACATAAAAAAATAAATTGATAGCATTAATCAACATCAGGATCAAATTACAGAAGGTTCTTGAATAAAGATATATATGATCATCAAAATCTTTATTAGCTCCTTGTCTTAAAATATAATCTTTGGGCTTACAAAATTTCAAATATAATGAATTATCTCAATAACATGTTCAAGACCAACATGATAGACTGTTAATTTAGAAGTTCAGAGTTGGATCAGAAAAATCCAAACCTTTTGAGCCATGAGGTAAGGTCGTTGAGTTCTCCAAAGAGGAACTTTAAGCCTTTGCTCTTTAAAGAGCCACAAGAACTGCAATTGTAAAGAGAGGAAGGAAGATAAGCTTAGATCATCAAAATGAACAAACGTGTGATGAGTTCAGGAGGTACAATCAGAATTTTCAGGCCAACAATGGGTGAAATCATTACCTTGTGAAGATCATCCTTTGTATCAGCAGGATAAAATTTACAATCCTCAGGAAATTCAGAGGCAAGACAAGACGTGCATCTCTTCTTCAGTTCATTTCTTTGCTTAAGCTCAGTGGGTAGATCCTGAAGGCACAAAATGAGAATTACATATAACCGTTTAAAACTCAATTTATTCATGAAATGATTGTAAGCTCGTGTAAATTACTTCACAAGTTCAAAAAATAAGATCCATCATAACTTACACGAACAAAGACAACAGTGCTTGGTAAACCAAGAGACCTAAATACAGAAAGGCATTGATTTCCAAATGAATCAATGTAGTCAGAATCAGTTTCTTCTGCTGAGACCACAAAAACCAGTAGATCAGCAACCTGCAACATAAATTGCATCAGACAGTTGTTATCAAGACCCACATGTTCAGCACCCTTGAACTTAAATCCATGAAACAAAGCAAATATAACAAATAATACCTTAGCCATCTCCATGCATGATACTAGATCACCATGAGGTGCTTTTAGTACCTGTAGCACAGAAAATTGGGTCAATATTACAAAATCGTATCCACCATAATAAACTTAGGAAAATGACTATACCAAAAGCATCATTAAGTATTCATATAATATAAGTATAAATTACAACTTTTGCGCTTATTTTCCAATTAACCAGGTGCAGGTCTATCCTCTAAGATATGAGAATGAATAAACTCTGATCTTCATAACTCCATATCATTACAAATAATTATTAAGTGTTAAACTTGGATTTAAAAAAAAAAAAAAAAACTATTAACCCGATCCATGTTGTATCTATATAAATACTCATTTAAATTCATTATATAGAAGACAAAAATAAACCAGTGCTTATATTTAAATATGCCGGAGCAACATTGTACTCCAATAAACATGTCTATGGCTTCTTATATAGAATTCACAAAATAAAATATACAAACACCTCTCAACAAATTTACTAATTTCAGGAGAATAAGGCTGCAATCTAATATACCGTTGTTCTTGTCCTATATTCAGAAGAAGCAACTGTTCCTGACAGCACCGCAGACGAATCTTCAGATAATGATGATAAGAGATCAACAGCAAGTGATTCTAAATCCACAGAAGCAGAGAGGGCAAAGAGAACCTGTCAGAAAGAAAAGTTGGAAAAAAAAGGAGGGCATATAAACAGAGTTTAAAAAGAGTATCCAATAAATAAACGTCCAATTCGGTTCAAAAGAAGCCATAGTTTACTCACTATCACTCGAGGAGGACATGTCGACCCACTCAGTTCTCTTTTTTCTTTCAAAATAGCAGCCCTTTTTTGTTCACGTATCTGTAAATTTACCAATCAGTGATTCCGAAAGAAAAAGCAACGCATAATGAGCCAATAGAGACATAGAAACAGAGACAAATACCATTTTATTTCTCTGAATTCGAGCTGCACGAGCTCCTTTGCCAACATTGCGTTCTGTTTTTGCGATTCTATCTAAACAATCCAGTTGAAAAACCAAACATTAATTCAGCCAAAAAGGAAAATAATAATAATAAAAATAAAAATATCAATTCATTACTAACCTTTGGCAGAGGTTTTGTGAAGATGGCGAGAAGATTTAGAAGAGAAACGGGATTTGTGAGCCTTATTGACTTGAACTCGCGAACCTCCCATTGTGGTCGCAGTGGTAGCTTACAGCACTTCACCCTCTTCCCTCTCTTTTTGATCTCAATTGCAAAACCCTATTTTGGGATTTAGCCGCATGGGTTTTAACAAGCGATTTATATTATAACCGATATATAATAAACCGGTGACCAACATAGACCCATCCCCAATAAGACCCGGTCGGACCAACCTACTCATGCTAAGTTGATGGGTGCTTTTTACTTGAATTTATCTCACCTATAATATTTTGTTATTTTCACACGGGTTTCACTAATTCAATGTTTATTAAAAATAGATAAATATAATTTTTCTTTCTTTCTTTCTTACGATACCTTATCTCGTAAAAAACTATCTCAAATCCATCACGATAAATTTCCACAAATTTTGATAGGGTTAACATAGTGTTTATCAAAAATGAGATAAATTTAATTTTTTTATTTTACATGATCTTTTCCCATAAAAAACCTCAAAAATAATTGGAATTATTATGGTGACTTATTGGACTGATTTTTTAACCTAAAGTTATTTTTAAACTAAACTTTTGAAAAATTGAACTAAAATACAGTTATAGTTATTTGTTTGATCCATAAATCATTTACACTCATAAATTAGTTGCGAATTTTAAAAATATTAAAATTATCGTTGAAGCCGCTTAAATTAAAATTTATGTGAATAAATATGAAATAAGATATTATGTTTACTTTTTTTATATTTATTTCTATATTTTTTTGTTAGATCACAATCTCAATCAATTTTCACATTTTTCTTTCCTCCCATGATCAGTTAAGATTTTATTTAACGGTATGGATAGAAATAAATAAAATAGGTATGAAAAAATATAGATATAATATCTTATTCAATCCCCAATAAATATTAACGAGATTTATTTCATTAAATAATATTAGCCACAAATGTAAATCTTGTTACACGAAACAAACAAGTTAAATATTGGTCTATGATACAAAATGAAATGTTTTTCACAAAATGCATGTCCTAGAGAAGATAATGAATCTGCTATTAAGAAGTTAAGCTAAAAATTTACTTATTTAAGTTAAACATAAAAGCTTAAAAAATAAGATAAAAAGTATTTGGTGGATTATATAATTTTTACAGTTTAAGAATAAATTTTAAAGCTCAAGTTAATAAATAAGTAATTTAATAAAATTATTTATACAAATTTTATTTATAATCAAAGACTTCCATATTATTAAAATAAACATAAATATTACAGAAATAAAAGATAATATACTTAAAATATTTTAAGATGTTTATATAACAATATATTAAATACTTATTTATATGTCTACCGAAAAAAATAATTTCATAATGTCTTTAATATATTAATATTCACTAGTCTTTCCATGTTATATTCATCAAACGTAACTCTCTCATGTGATTCTTTTGTGGGGAGGGCAAGAGAAGAATACTTGGTTTTAAAATAAAGGTTAAAATTTAAAATAAATTTTTAATTGAGGATATAAATAAGAAACATATATCTTTCCAAAAAATATATGAGAAGCTTTTTCTAAAAATTAGTATTAACTTTTCCATTTCGTTAAATTGGCAAAGCAAAGTTCAGTTTTTTTCTTTTCTTTTCTTTAACGACCTTAGATTTGAAGTATGATATCTTCATAAAAAAAAGAAAAGAAAAGAAAAAGTATCAAATGTGTATTACTGCAACAGTGCAACCTCAGGGATAAACAAACTTCGTCCTTCGGGAATCGGGAGTCACTGTTCTCTCTCACTCTCTCTCTCTATCAGTGACTAATTTATGATAACATGTTCGTTTTGCCACTGCAACTAACTACTCCGTTCCCTTCAATCCACGTCAATTATTTCCCCGTCCACCTCCACCGCCACCATCACCGCCACCACCACCACCGTGTCTTCCAACCACCGCTGTCCTCCGCAAACTTCTCATCATTCAGACCAATCATCGTGGACGAGGGTCCAAACGACATTCTTTCCCTTCAAAACCGCCACTATGACTTCACTCCCCTCCTCCGTTTTCTCTCCGATTCCAATTCATCCACCACCGATTCCGACTTGAACTCGGCTTCCCCGACTTCACTTGACTCAACTGAGTTCCAACTCGCCGAATCTTACCGAGCCGTCCCAGCTCCACTCTGGCACGCGCTCCTCAAATCTCTCTGCTCCTCTTCCGATTCCATTGGATTGGCATACGCCGTCGTTTCTTGGGTCGAGAAACACAACCTCTGCTTCTCCTACGAGTTGCTCTACTCCATTCTAATCCACGCGCTTGGGCGCTCCGAAAAGCTTTACGAAGCATTCTTGCTTTCTCAGGGACAAGTGCTAACTCCTTTGACCTACAACGCGTTAATCAGCGCGTGTGCTCGTAATGGTGACCTTGAGAAGGCTCTGAACTTAATTTCAAAGATGCGCCGCGACGGTTTCCATCCAGATTTTATGAATTACAGTTCAATCATTCAGTCCCTTACTCGCTCTAACAGAATAGATGCTCCAATTTTGCAGAAGCTTTATGGAGAGATTCAAAGTGATAAGATTGAGGTTGATAGTCACCTACTCAATGATATCATAATGGGTTTCTCAAAAGCCGGTGATCCTACTAGGGCTATGCATTTTCTTGCTATGGCTCAGGGTAATGGCTTGAGCCCCAAATCAGCAACTTTTGTTGCTGTTATTTTAGCATTGGGAAATTCGGGTAGGACCGTAGAAGCTGAAGCGTTGTTTGAGGAGATTAAAGAAAGTGGTTTGGAACCCAGGACAAAGGCTTATAATGCACTCCTTAAAGGGTATGTGAAAACGGGTTCTCTGAAAAATGCGGAATTTATTGTGTCTGAAATGGAAAAAGGTGGTGTTTTGCCGGATGAGCACACTTATAGTCTGTTGATTGATGCATATGCACAAGCAGGAAGATGGGAGAGTGCTAGGATTGTGTTGAAAGAGATGGAGGCAAGCAATTTGCAGCCTAATTCGTATGTTTATAGTAGAATCTTGGCGAGTTTTCGCGACAAAGGGGAGTGGCAGAAATCGTTTCAAGTTCTGAAGGAGATGAAGAGCTGTGGGATACAACCTGATAGGCAGTTTTACAATGTGCTGATAGATACTTTTGGGAAGTATAATTGTCTTGATCATGCAATGTCAACGTTTGAGCGAATGCTATCGGAGGGGATTCGACCTGACACTGTTACGTGGAATACATTGATCGATTGTCATTGTAAGTCGGAGCGCCATGATAGAGCAGAGGAGTTGTTTGAGGAAATGCAGCAGGGTGGATACTCACCTTGCATCATGACCTATAACATTATGATAAATTCCATGGGGGCACAGGAAAGATGGGACCAAGTAACTAACTTGTTAACCAGAATGCAGAGTCAGGGATTACTACCCAATTCAGTGACATACACAACTCTGGTTGATATATATGGAAAATCAGGAAGATTTAATGACGCATTAGAATGCTTGGAGGTCTTGAAATCTACGGGATTCATGCCGACTTCCACCATGTATAATGCCCTAATCAATGCCTATGCACAAAGGGTATGCTATTCTGTGATTTTGAATTCTATCAACAACTGCCCCACATATAATTTAATGCTTGCTAATCTAATCTTTGCTCCGTAAATGACCAATATTCTGATTGCATTATTTATGAACTGATATAACTTAAAAAGTCCATTGGAAATTTTACCTGTCAAGACCTTACTAGCATGAATATATTTCTTTCATTTATCTACTATTTCCATGAGTGAAGACTAAGACAGTTTACAATTTTGTATCAAATTGCTCAATTGAACCATGAGATCTCAAAAAGTTCATCTATGTACTTATTTTGCATTGAGATCAAGCACTATTGGACAGGTTTTTTCAAAAATCTAAAGTTACATTCTCAATCCTCTTGTTCTTTATTCTTCTTCCATTGAAAAACCTAAAGCACTAGCTTTGGGACTAGGTCGAAAATGAACCATATGTTTGTTCAGAATTTCATCCTTAACTCTTTTGATGAGTGGATTGGTTAAGTAATAATTTTGGCAATATTTGGCAGGGTTTGTCTGAACAAGCAGTAAACGCATTCAGGATGATGACTGCTGAGGGTCTGACACCTTCTTGTTTATCTCTCAATTCATTAATTAATGCATTCGGTGAAGATAGAAGGGATGCTGAAGCCTTTGCTGTACTGCAGTACATGAAAGAAAATGTGTGTTTTTTTCTTCTTTTTCTCCTATTCTGGCTAAACATTTTAGATGTTATTTGTCTTTGGTTAAGTACTAATGTATTTTGTTCACATTAATTACAGAACTTGGAACCTGATGTAGTTACTTATACTACGCTTATGAAAGCTTTGATTCGTGTTGACAAGTTCCATAAGGTACATAATATTACATTATCGCAGTAAGTTTATCCTTTATTATGTTCCTTTAGTCTTGCATCTCATCAAAGGAAATTCTCAGTTTTTTTGCCCGTACTTTCTTAGAATTCCAAGTGTGACTTTTTTCTGGAGTTATTGTCTATATTGGTTTGCAGTCCCTGATCTATGGTGACTCGCTGTAAACAAATCAACGAAAATAACAATGTTTCAAGTTTCAACTTAATAAATTGACTCAGGTCTAGTCTTTTGCCATGTCTGTGACAGGTCAAGTATCATCCACATTTTCCACTTTATCCTTTACATGGATGATACTGTGATTTTTCATTGAATAAAAACAACTTTGGTGAAAATTGTATACCCTGTTTATTAGTTTATTTGTGACTTAAGGTCAATCAACTTCATTGCACAATTACTATGCTGCATTATTTGGGTTTCAGGTTCCATCTGTGTATGAAGAAATGGTTATGTCAGGGTGCACTCCAGATAGAAAAGCTAGAGCAATGCTGCGATCTGCTCTTAAATACATGAAGCAGACACTGAAATCATAATTAAATTATCAAGCACATTCACAAAGCCAAAACAGAGTCAACTTTGCTCACCTGGTGTACTTGGTTATAATTCTGGAGGTTAGAGCTAACTTGCAGCGTCTCTGCTTACAATTACATGCCAGGCCTTATTTTTTAAGTGAATATTTTCTGGGTAAATGCATTATGGTTTTTGTGCCAACCGTGAAATTAGTCTGAAATTGGCACTTCCTAATTTCCAACCATACACCCAACAAAAAAGATGTATTTGTCCGTCAAAATATGAATTTAAAACTCATTATTTCGGTCCAAAAATATTAATATTTTGCTAATAATGTAATTAGTGGTGGTGGTTAGGGGTGAAAGTGGGTTGGGCTAGGCCAAGCTTTGTCCCGAAAAGCCCAAGCCTACGCCAAAAAATTTCAATTTGGCCTGGCCCAAGCCTATTACGAGTCTAACTGTTAGCCTGACTTGGCCCGTTTATAAAAAAATAAATGGCCTGACCCAGCCCATTAGCCTGTTAATTTTTAACTTCCAAACGGAACCATGAATCAACTTTACAGAATACTCAAATTCTGTTGCTAAACTAAAAATTATAATTTCAACGTCCAAACAGAATCATGAATCACAACAAAACTCATACAATCTACATTTAAGTCACTTTCAAAAGCAAAATGCTCAAACTAAATAACATATATTTCATTATATCCAAACAAACAAATCCATACTATGTAAATTAAAATAATTACATCAATCCAACAAACACATCATGATGTTTGTAGTAAGTATAACCTCTCCTAAAAATCTTTTAGTATATTCATATACATAATTTAACATGATGAGATGTTGGTTCCTCCTATATAAGAAATAAAGTTAGATTTCTATTAAAATATAATCGAATATAATTAAGTTATAAATAATTACAATTGATTAAATTTATATCTTTTGTTTTTTCTTCAAGACATTCTTATCTTTTGTTAGAGGCCGGTCTGTAGGCTTATAGGTCAGGCCTTGTAAAAGTGGGCCTACTGCTTTTTTATTGAACAAGCTTTTTCAAGGCCTAAGCTCGGCCTATTTTATGAAATATATTAGGCCAGGTCTGGCCTCACATAGGCCGAGCAGTAGGCTCCTGTGGGCCGGCCCGGCCCATTTTCACCCCTAGTGGTGGTTGTGTGATTATTTTTATAAACAATTTTGGAGTCTTTCATGTTTGTTTTACTGTATTATTTGTTTGGAAAGTTCAAATTATGATGAAATCATTAATTCTTCGGTTAATATAATAACAATATTATGATTCATGTTTTACAGACTAGTATAGATGGCGCGCAGCTCATCCTGGATATGTATGCTCTCCAATAGTGCTTGAATAAGAAAAGAAGTTGCAGAAATCACGACATGGAACTCCCTTCTGTACCCCCCAAAAAATATTCATGCAGAGAAACGCATAGAAAGTTAATTGGCTTTCCCTAATGCTGTACTAATGTGTCTATCAATCTTTGGGATTAATAAGTTTAATGTAAGTAAAATTTAAAATTTATATGTAAGATGCATATTTCATGATCATAAATGGGATTACATTATAAAAAGAAAAAGGAAGAGTGAGTGTGCAAGCATTTCATTTACATTTGCAATGTGGTTCTGCACTCGTTGTAGTTACATAGAGCACTGAATCATGCTATTTCTTCGTCGAAAGTCGGATGAATAAACTGCTATTGTATTTGTTTATATAACAATGGAGACAAAGACCTTGTCATTATGTAATTGTATTATTTGTGCCTGAATGCGGACATGCCGCAGACAATTACACCAGTAGCGTTATGTTGCTACTTCATTCGTTTACTACACCATAACCGACCGGTCCCTGAGTTGGGCACGTTAAAGAATCAAATTATATAGCCTCGAAAGAAAGGTGCGTTACATAGTAATACAGTCAACAATTTAACTTACTATTTTTTCTCAAAATTGGATATACAATTTTCACTTACGATCTAATTTTAGAGAGGCATAGCAGAAACAATTGGTCTACTGCACTTACTTTTTGAAATTCTAGAACAGAACATGAACATTAGTAACACTGAAGATAATAAAAAGAGCCTGAAATAAGTTCTTATTTCTTGCATTCCAAGCTCTAGCACCTCCATCTTCTTTCCGTATCTATTTCTCCTCTCCATTAAATATCCATCTAGGTATTCATCTATTGATACCAACTTATCCAATTTCAAGACAGACGCTTCTGAATGGATCTCACCGAGGTGGAGTGGCCCCGATTTAAAAATTGTAAAGAATGTTGCAGACCAGTCATTGAGAACTCTCTGAAAATGACAACATAAAACATTAGAATCATTGCCGTTCCAACTTTTTAACAATGTTATATCCCTCTCTTTAATTGTAAATTAAAAAAAAAAAAAACACTCGAGAGTAAAGGAAGAGGAAACAAGACTCAAATTAAACACAAAAGGAGTGATCATTGCTGAGAAGCTTTTAAGTAACATACATTGTAGCTAGCAAGGTCAGTGGGATTAAACATTTTAAAACAGTCTCTTGATGAGGCTGTTCCATCTCCGTATATCTGCCAGTCAACACAAGATGTAAGGGCATAACCAAATCAAATTTGCTAATACCAAATGGGAAGAGATCCAGCAGACAAACCTCAAAGGTGAAAGCCATGGGAACCCTCACAATGTCATACATGAAATCAGTTGCTGTACCGTGTGCAAAATACCTGGACAAGAAAGTGCTAAACTTGAGGAAGGAATGACGTATATGGCAAATACAATGGCATATGACCACCTCAAAAGACCAAAAACTTGAGGTACTGAAACAGATAATTTACTTTGTACTTTTAAAATTTACAGTTTTCATTCTCAAACCTTTGGCACCAAAAAAATGGTGCTGCTGAGCTATATCACTTACAACTTCAGATTATCAAAAGCAGTAGAGTATTTGAGGTCCTAAAAGGTCAATTCCAGGCACCACCAAGCAGGTGCCATTTGAGTACAGCTTGCAAACCAATAAGTTAAGGTCATTATAGGTTGACTGTGTTCTGAACAAAGGTGTTTCTACTACCTTACTATCCGGTTTAGTTTCATATATATAAGTGGCGATGCATTAAAAAAAAAAAAAGGACACTGAAAAACTGAAATGTTCAATTTTTCTCCTCTTTCATGACATTCACTGAAATGGACATCACTTGTCAGCCAGGGATAGAAGGTAGAAGAAAACATATAGCCACAGAAATATTTTTGCAGTCATCAATCATATTTCACCAGAAATCGACTAACCCTACAGGACCACCGAAGTAACCAACCGTTCATGTTTTTGGCAATGAGAAGATATACAACAGAAGAAAACATACAAAAAATGCAAAGATTTGTCCTTGTGAAATTTGTGCCAGTCCTCGGATTAAAAAAGAAAAAAAAAAAAACTAACCCTACAGAACCGCCTCCAGACCCAATCATGCAACGCTTTTGGCAATGTAGATGGTTTACTTCTTCAAGCAATGACTTCATCCGTTGCAATGGCAATCCATCAGGTGTAGTATTTTTATGATCATATGGCATAAAAAGAGCCTGCATAGGAACGAGGAAGAAGGACAGTGAAAATAATCATAAAAAGTGATATATGAATGGTTCCATAGCAGGTACACCAAATTAAATTAATTTAATTTGACACAAAAGAAGAAAGAAAGAACCAAAAAGTAATATAAAAAAAGATATGACTGACAAGTAATCTATGTGTCTTAACTTAGTACCCTTGTGAGCATAAAAGTTAATGTACTGTCAAGTAATGTAAAAGCAGCAACTAATAACAAACACGATAGTAGTAAATAATACAGTAAGAACCATAAATTTTGGATAGCAGGGACAAGACACAATCTCTTACTTCATATGAGAAAAAATAGTAACATGATAGGGCGAAGTTTTAAAGAATAAAGACAACGAGGCTTAAATGACAACTTTAACACTATAGTAGTAAAAAGAAAAACACTTCCAATAAATCCCCGACTAGCAAAGATAGGGTGAGAGCAATTCTTGTATGCATCTTTACTTTTACATATTTGCAAAGAGACTATTTTTCAAAATCGAACCCTTTCAATCATAAAGGAGCAGTTTAACCACTGCTCCAAGCTCACCCTCTTATTCTAACACTGTAGTAATTAAAAAAAATAAAAAATTGAGTGGGGTCATGTGCTCCCACATTGCTAAACCTGAATCCTTTCCCTGGTAAGAGCAAAAGAGAATAGTCAAGTAACGTACTGTCAATAATGTATGCCTACCCTAATAATTATACTACTACTTCCTCTGTTTCCGAAAGAGATCATCAAGAATTTATATCAGTAATCACAAGTTTCGGCTGCATAAAAATACAACAAATCTTGGTGGAGTCTAAAGCATAACTTTGATTCCAGTTGAAACTTCATCTTTCCTAAAATGAGAAGGTTTTCAAGAAAATAGTTGCTAAAGAGGAGGAATAGTACAAGAGTACTAGTGCACATGATCGCTTAATGAAGGATTAAATGTGAAGCTTGTGTTGGGAGTACTGTTGTGAAACCCGACCCGACCCGACCCGACTGGGTTGTCCCGGAACCCGGCGAACCGATCATCAGACCGGTTTGGGTCAAGCATTAGACCGGTCATGCATCGGACCCGGTCAAAACCGGTGACCCGATCGGGTCATACATTTAAAAAAACAAAAACAAAAAACCAAAATTGTTTCATCTTTCAAAAAAAAAAAAGTAGAACTCATTTTAAAAACATTTTGTAATTTTATTTGCTAGTATACTCTTTTACAATGACCTCAAATTTCAGCTTCCAATACTAAAGCAATTTGCGGAATAATAAATTAAGAAAATGTGACATGTATCATTTCAATATAGATGAATTTGAAAAATATGAATTCAATGTCATTGAGAGGTATGTTTATGGGGATTCTGAGTTGCAATTTAAATTGACATAGTAATAACATGCATTTTTATTTATTTGTGCTTCATGTTTTTGAGCTTATTTAGTGAACCTTGTTTAACTTGTTTTAGATATGGAGAATATAATTAAATTTATATGTTCATCTTTATATATTTATATATATCCGGGTCAACCGGTCCGACCAATAACCCAGTACCCCGATGGGGTCGATGTCCGGGTCGGGTTTAATAACACTACTTGGGAGTGAGAAATAAAAATAAAAAAGTCAGAACCAGTATCAAGTCAAATGTATTTCAGTTGTCATTTTTTGAGCCAGAAATTAGCTTCATGTGCCTATAAGCTACTTTACCATGTTAGCTCAAACGGGTTAATTCTTGAAAAAACTCATTCTTTAGAAAGAAGCAACTGTAACGTCCATAGGTTGGAAAAATCCCAATTAATGCCAGTTCTTGTTACATTTTTCAGCAAAATATTTGAAAAGCAAGGTGATTTGTAAGCCACTCAGGTTCTCCAAACACTAAAATAGGAATTTGGATTAGCAGCTTTATATATTTTAACCATCAAATAAAAGAATAAATTTCAAAGATCTTAAAGCAATCGACGTGTAATACTAATAGAATCTATTAGATCACTAATGAATTGTGGTGCAATTCAATTACAAATTCTAATTCCTGCTTGGGTTATAATACTGTGCAGATCCAGAACTAAAGCACAGATATGGATAAGTAATGTATGGAAAAATCAATTTGATGTTTAGACACAAGTGAAAAATGAGCTAAACTTACCTCCATACCAGAGTGCACATTGACCCATACATGTGGTTCAAAAGATATGGCAAGTTTCCTCATGATTTGGCTTTCAGGCTCGCTAAATGGAGCAAATCCAGGATTCTCCTCATATGGATCATAATCCTATTGATTGGACCAATAATAAAAATGAAAAAAGAGATGCTTAAAAAATATAAAACAATTTGACATAATGCTGGAAAAGAAAGAGATTAGTGCATAGATTGACAAGCAGACAAAAAGAGGAATGAGAAATTCCATATGGCGATAATGGACAGGTGAAAACACCATTAATTAATAAAATCCTATAGTATAAACCAGGAGATAGAAGACGCGTAATGAACCTTTTCTTTCTTGCCCCAATCTACACTCCAATTCCGGTTGAGATCAACTCCTCTGCCTGTTACATAATAAAAACTCAGGCATTTCAAAGCTAGTGAATCATTACACTAAAGATTATAAAGGAGGAATACAAGACCATTTCTTCTCTCACAGAGATCTCCAGCTTCAACAAGTTTGCGGCCATGCAAGTTTTCCATTGGAACCACCTGATAAATAATTAGACAACAGCATTATGAAGATACCAAATCTCTCCGGTGAAGTGACTGGTACAATTACGTCTAATTCTCATATTTTTTCTAACTAAAATAACTTCAATGTACAACTATAGATATCATAAAAATTCCTTCAATCGAGTGGCAATAAATGGCTGAGCATAAAGATGTGCAAGCATATTAAAGAGAAAAAAAAATGGAATTACATAATTTTCTCAAGTAGAAGTGCTTAATAAGTCTAAAACCTCAACAAATGGATGAAAGATATCTAAAGATTATAATGACTCTGTCTAGCAAAACATGAAATGTAATGCAGAATGCCTGCATAGCATAAAATGTGGAACAATTGGGACAGAGTCGTAATACTTCAAATGAATTATTATGAAACTTTACAACCATCTTGATAGTCTTAGCCCAGTTCCATAATAGATTTTATGATTATCACATACTCATAGTAGAAATTTGGACTTACCTTTATGATAAGCTTGTCAAGTGTACTGTTTAAGGAAGCTTGATCCATGCTGGGTAGAAATTGTTCTTCACTTAGAATAGACAAAATCCTTAAAGCAAGTTCTGAGGTGATCAGCTCCCTTCCATGCTGCCCGAAACTCTGGAAGACAAGGAATCATCTGTCAAAAACACCAGAATAACCAATTTGAGATAACTATCCACTACATGCCAAATTATAGCTTTATCTTAAAGAACACCCAATTGTAATTATATTATCACAATTTCTTCCCCTTTTGGGCATTCAACACTTGGAGAAAAATCTAGGGGCTAACATACAATTGTTTGAGAATTGAGATAATAAAACCCTTGTCACATGAAAGTTTGTCATTAACACCAATGAATGTAGAAAACTTACAAGAAGGATCCGAGACTTTGACCTCTCATCAACCTCTCTCTTTCCCTTGCAATAAGTAACCACAGCAACCTCAGCACCATAGCCTTTGTTTCCAGCTTCAATTGTCTCCATCTATTCAGAAACATCAAATATAAGAATTGTGTATCCTGGAATAGTGACACCCTATAGATAATCTAGATACATGATAAATGACCTACGGTGAGCTTATCCGGGTGACGATGGACCAAGGCACTAATCTCTTCCATCAAATCGCCACTGCAGAATCCCACGAAAGGGTTCAATAAACAAATAAATAATTTATAATAAGACTGAACTGGCAAAATAGCTTAAAAACCACTGCTTCGTCAAGTTCAGCGCTTCATCAACAAACAAATATTCATAAGCACAAGAATTATGTAAGCATTTCAGAGAGCGTGACAATTAGGAGAGTATGCACATAGGCAATATGACGAATAATTTCTACATAAGACGGCAAAATATCAATTGAGAAAGCGTCCTTGAGATTCATTCAACAAAATCTCAACCTAAATTTAACGGTCATATAAAACGATATCTGCACTACCAAAAAGGGAAAAAAAATAGAAAACAGAAAAGTAGAAAATACAGCGATTTCCATAATTGAATTACGAAATTAAAAGCATGCGATTCGAATCTATCGAACCTGAGAAATTAAGGAGGAAAAAAGAGGAAAGTAGATCAGAGAAATTAATGGCTAGGGGAGTTACCTGGAATGGTAGAGATCGTAGTTGATTGGCGTAACTGGAGGTTGAGTGAGATTGATTGGTTCGCCATTAACAAAAAGGTGAAGTGGGGAAGAAGCGAGGAAGCAGATGCTGATTGAGAACAGAAAAGATGAGAGAGAAAGAAGATCAGCCATGGCAAGTATCAACAGGTTATCTATTTCATTTCATTTCATTGTTGCTGTTATTAACTCTGCTTCGACGTCTTTGAATTTCTTTGAATCAGACCTACGAGGGAATAATTGAAAAAATATGTCTTTTTTAGACGGAGTTTGATATTTTTCCTTCTTTCCACGTTCCACGATCTCGATGATGGAACGCGGTTAACAGGTCACTTCACATATTCATTTATTTTTGTTATTGAAAAAATATTTGTCTTTTTTAATATACGGTCATTTTAATTAAAATTAATATTTTTTATTTAAAATTTAAACTACAAAATTCATTCATGATTTTTATTTAAATTGAAATTATAACAGCCCTTTATTGGAGTCATAATATAATAAAGTGTAAATATTAAACTAAAAATAAATATCATATATAAATACTAAAAATATAGGTTAAAATATATTTTTAGTCTTCATATATTATATTTATTCTCAATGTTGGTCGGATCATTATATTATTAAACCACATATCTAGCTTAATTTCTTATGTTCCATCTCAATCTCTTATGCATTACCAACTATGGATATTCCACAAAATCATGAAATATCTTCACCCATCCTCCCACAATCATATTAACATGTGTGATCCTTTATTAGTTTTGCTATAATTAAAGAGTTCCTTACTCTAATTACATTCCATCACGGTCTTGAGTCTCAGAAACTTTGCAAGCTCACATCCCTCTTCTGTTACAGGGGGTGCCACCATCAATCATCATACAATAAAATCCAAATGAATCAATCCACACATCATATTTATTCCGAAAAAAGTGTAATTTCTACATTTTACATATAATTATATTTAGGGCTTTCATTTCGTCCTGTTACAGTAATTTTTTTTTTCTGCAGCAAAAAATGACAAGATAAATAATAATAAAAAATTTGGAACAAGCACTGTATTCAATTATTATTTTTTTGATAAATAAAAAGCTTAAAAGCCAAAACAATGACCCAAAACAAAGAGACTAACCAGGGAGTACCACAGCACAAACCCTACCTACAGAAGCTAAATCACCCATAAATAAACTATGAATACCCAAAGGAGGATGACTAAAAAAACAATGCTCAGCTTACTCAGAAGCATCCAACATAAAGTTAGCTAGCCAGTCCGCACAAGTATTGCCTTCCCGGAAGATATGTTGAAGACGAACCTGCCAACTCTTACCAAGCCACGTCCGTATACGAGAAACCAATTGCACCTCACGGACTGCCACACCACAATTGGTGAGCACAGTGATTGCCATAAACGAATCACTTTCTAAAATAATTCTCCTATAACCACTACACCAAGCCCTCTCCAAACCTCTTAAAATACCCCACAATTCAGCTTTAAAAGAAGAGCAGCGACCCAACCTGAAAGCAAAGCCATCCAACCAATTACCTTGAGAGTCTCTAATTATTCCTCCGCAAGCAGCAAAACCAGGATTGCCACGGGAAGTACCATCAGTATTCACCTTTACAAAACCTTCCTCAGGAAAATTCCAAGAAACTGAAACAGTGCTGACATGAGGATTACAGCTATGAAACTTGTGATGAACAGCAGCCAACTCGATATCTTTAGCAAGATTTTTAATTGTTTCCACTCTACAACCAATCGGAGGCACCTCTCGGCCATGGTTTAACAGGTTCCTCCAACTCCATATTTTCCAACAAGCAACCATAAAGGTCGAAAACCACCTGTCATGATTCTGAAAAAGATCCACACCGAAATTAAAATCAAACCAATGCTCTACAGAAGCAGTGTAAAAATCAGCGGAATGATTAGCTGGAACAAGGCACTCCCACACCATTTTAGCCCTGTGACAGTCTCTTAAAGAGTGAATAATAGTATCCAGCTCTCCACTACCACAATTGCACAACCCATCTCCACCATACCAAGAAGAAATCATACTATTTGTTAGCAATTTTTTATGCAATAACTTCCAACCGAAAATTTTAATACGTTGGGGACCCTTCCAAGACCAAAGCATGCTCCAGATCTTCTTAGATTCATCATCAATATCTTCATTAGTATACAGAAAATCATAAATAGCACCAACAGTAACAGAATGAGATTTTTGGATCTCCCAAATTCTGTTGTTAGGACCATCTTCCTCCAAGGGAGGGAGGATACTACGAATGATTTCAACAATGTTAAAAGGCAGCCAACTATTCAGCTTATTAAAATTCCACTGACCTGTTTGATTATTTTGTTTTGTCTGACAAAAATTTTGTTCATGTAACATGATTGTTATTTATCCCTTACATTTATAGCAAGTTGACTTTATAAAACATATATTATGACGTTATAGCAATAATAATAATAATAAAAAACACAACCTTTAATATAAGTATCCATATAAGATTGGATTAAATAAAATCATATAAAAATTAAATAAAAAATAATATGTGTAGTAATTAAAGATATATTTTAACCTAGTAATTATAATAAATTTAATTATATCAATTGCTTCAAATTTTCATTATTTATATAAATTTATATACCATCAATAATAAAGAAGAAAAAAACACTATTGTAACAATTGAATGTATATTTGATAAAAAAAAAAATCTTAATCTATAATAAATATATTTATGAACTTTTAAAAAAGTGTTATCATATAATTCACCGATATATTCACCGATATATTTTGATTTTTCAACTGTGAATTAAAATTCAGTGATACTGATTTTTTATTATTTTACTCAAATTTGATTTACCGGATTCGTAAAATTTGTATACTATCAAAATATAAAGTATCACATCATTATTTTTCTCTTAATATGCCAATCATATTAATTCAATAACACAACAAAATTTTATGGTTAAAATGTAATTTTGATGTATAAAAAATATGTATAATTTTGAGACTCAATTTTATCGGTTCTTATATAAAAAATTGTATATAATCTTTTTTTTTTTTTGGGAAATTTATATACTCTTTATATTTACGATCATTTTCAATATTGTTGGTTGTCAATTACCGTTGTAACATAACACTATAAGATCAAGATATAATTACTGTAAAGTACATGGATTAAATGAAAAATCTTGTCATATATAAAGTATTTTTTTATCTTTGTTCATGATATTCATTTTCAATTTAGTCTTTATATATGTGTTATGAGTTCATTTATTTGTGGTTTTAAGAAAAAACACCTTTTTAATTGAAAATATAATTGAAAAATATATTAATTAGATAAATTTTTGGAAAAAGAAGCTAAACAAAAACTATTTTAATGTTTTTCTAAAAAAATTAATTTTTTTTTAAATAAAAGATCTAAAAATAGGTGCTATCATAAAAGCATTTTATGCAAACGCACTTTATAACATTAACTGATGGTATTATAGTGAGTTAGTGACAATAGATTATGAGAATCAAAATAAAAAAGTAATTAAACGTGCTTTGACTAAATTGAAAATTTTAGAAACAAAAATATGTTTTAACTAAGTCCGTACTTTCACGTGTTGTGATTATTTAGTATGTCTTTCCAAGAAAGAAAAAAAAAGGATTAGTATGTAATTGTGCTGTTTGTTATAAAACTTGTTAGAATGAGTATGGGTGAAAATGATTTAGATCATTTCAAGCTTTACCGTTAATAGATTTGCCAATATTAGGTTAATTTATTCATTTTCCACCGATGAATAAAAAAAAAAAGAACACAACAGAAGTGAGTTGATTAAAAGAAAGAAGTATAAAAGGATAACTGATAAAATATTAAGGGAAATTGTTTTCTCCAATTGCATGAGATAACTATCTCATGTCATATAGACATAAAAAAATGTGTTTGCAATTTCTTTTTCTTTTTTTTTTTCTTTAATTTGTGGATTCCATATTTTTTATTAATGTAGAAAACAAAACTTCTCTCGTATTAAATAAGAAAAATATTACCCAGATATTAAACCATACCAGAGTTTTTGAACTGTGACTTGAGATGAATATCAAGTTTTTTATGGCACTTTTATAATGTATTTAAATTATGATTAGATAGTGCAAAGTTTTTAACTTATTTTTTTTAAATGTAATAGATTTATTTTCTTAATATTTTTTTAAATATTAGTTTTTAACTTATTAAAAAATGAATAGATATAATTAAAATAAAAATAAAACTAAATTATTAAGATAATAATATTTTTTTCTTAAGTAACTATAAACATGTATAAAACTAATCTATTCAAATACAACAACCGACAAATATAAAATACACATATAAAAGGCAAATATAAAAATACATGTAAATTATGTTCAACAGAACACCCTTTATTTTCAATGGTATCATATTGTTCCTTATATTATATTTTTTTCTTTTTTAATAATTATAGAGAAAAAGTTCAAAAACCCCATTGTGGTTTAATTTTTTTTTATTTTTTCCTTGTGCTTTTTTTTTAATTATTTACCTTTTTTTTTAATTGTTCATAAGGTCAAAATAAACATATTAACCTAATATTTATTAGACTTAGATAAAAAAAATGAAAAATAAGTGATAAGAATATATAAAAATTATGGAACAAGCCACATAAGATTTTAAACTTTTCCCTCTATTTTTCAAGCATAAGACTATTTAGATCACATAAGCATTTGGTCCAAACTATGTCTAAAATGATATAACTTTGTATCATTTAAATTTAAAATGATAAACACTTTTTCCTTTATTTATTATCCAAATCCAAATCATTCTATCATAAATACAGAAGGAAGGCAAATAAATAAAAATAAAGAGGCCAAAGCCGTATCTGGAAGGAGAATCTGATGTCATAATGAGGCCAAATTCGCCGTTTCAAATCAGTTACTTTCGACCGTCCGATTCAAAATATGATCGTTACAAACGCTCCTCTTCAGTATCTGTCTCTGATTCAAACCTACACACCCTTCTTCCAATAAAATAAAAGAGAGCATGCCACAGTGAAAAAAAAGACACCGTTCTCGTTTCTCACTGCTTTTGGATTTGTGTTATCTCTCAGCGATGTACTCAACATCAAAGATGAAGCCTCCACGCCCTCGATCGCCGATGCATCTTCGAACACGCCGCGTTCTTCAGTCGTCAAACTCTACCTCTCTTCAAACCCCACCAGGTTCTTGTTCTTTTACATTACCAAGTTCATCTTTTGTTTTTGCGGTCCACTCTTGTTTTTTTTTTTTTTAATTTATCCTTTTTCTTTGGTGGATTTGAAACAGGTTCTTTGACCAAATCTCAGAAACCAGTTCGCTCTCCGGACATGGATCTTCGACCTGAATACCGCACGATTTCGTGTGAATTACGGACTTTGGCAAAGATGGTTCGGGATGAATTTGGGAACGCAGGTTCAGAGAATGTGACTGTTGCAAACTCTCGCGGTCTGAACCAACATTCTTTGTTTGAGAGGGGTAGGTTTTATGATGAATACTCTGCTAGAAGGAACGAGAGGCTTAAGAGGAAGAAGGGAATGACGGTGGATGAAGGGAAGGCTAAGCCAGCTCATGCTCATGCTCTTGGTGTTACCGTTGAATCTGGAAAGAAGAGTGGTTCGAGAAAATTTGGGAGCCTGAGAAAATCTGTTTCTAGGGCTTACTCCGTGGAGGTGAGTGAAACTCCAAGGTACAATCTCAGAAGCATGACTAAGGAAAATAAGAAACCTCCCCGCGCTTCGAGTTTTGATAAATCTGTTATCTGTGGGGAGAAGAAGACAAGAGCAAGAGGTGGAGGAAGAATTTGAAATTTTTAGCAATTTTTTTTTATTTGTTTTTGGATTGAGAACTTGATTTAATTTGATTTTGGGTTGAATCCTGTTCTCTGTTTTGTTTCAAGTTTCTGGTACTGTTGCATACCAATGGAATGAAGTGAATGATGTTTACTTGAGATGATTTTCCAATCCACATTAAGCATATACGTTGATTGATAGATAAATTTTTTAGCCGATTTGCAAATTATTATTTTTTTATTTTTTTTTGGACTGAGATTTGAGAATTACTTGAACAAGCCGAATGAAAGAAAGCGCAGAAAGAAACAAACAACATCCAAGAGCCACTGCAGCAAGTTTTTTTTTTTTTTTTTTCTTGGTCGAAATTTTTCTCTAAATGTTACTAACAACTCTGTTGATCTTCTTGATTGGACAGATAAGTTTTAACTTTGGGGAAAAAAGGAGAATTGTATCAAGATTATGAAAAATAATTCAAGATAATAATATGTATGCATACATAACCATAACCACTGACACTAACATTCGTGAGTTGTAGTAATATGCATATATTTATACATTATATACAGGATGGTTTAACGGATAAACTTGTCTCCCGAATTTTCATCCCCCTTCCCTCCTCTTTGAATAATTAATATCCAAGAACCCGCTTATCCACACACCGGAATAACGCCAAGTGAAAACAGTTAAGATTCACAACTGAAAATCTTCCTCAGTTGTCTGCATCTTCGAGTTCTGGAACAATTTCACTTTCAACAGAAGCTGTTTCCTCAAGCATTTCCGCATTATCCGAATTCCTATCTTCTCTTCCTACAGAAGCCAATTCATCAAGATTTTTTGAAACATCTGCACCTGCTGCTGCTAATGTCTCTTCCACCTTATCCAAATTGCTATCTTCACTTTCTATGGAGGCAGATTTACGAGGAATTTTTGCAACATCTGCCGCAGAAAATGTCTCTTTTACCCCAGCGAAATTGCTATTACTGTTTTTGTCTCGGCTTTCTTCCACTCTATAATATACCTTCAGAAATTTTCAAATTAAATTAGCAATTCACGTTTTGCGGGGAAGAGCAAAAGAAAAGCTTTAACTACAAGCTCAAACTTAATTTTGACATAACAAGAACCAACCACAAGGCAATCATCCTATTATTTTCCCATTTCCAGCCAAATTAAATTAACAATTCACATTGTTGTAGGGAAGAACAAATGGAATGCTAAATTTCGCAGCTCAAATGTAATTTCAACATGGAAAGTGAACCTTGGGCAGAAATTCATTGTTCTCCTGGGAAAGAACTGAAAAAAAATAAAAATTCTTCTACCTAAAATAAATCATGCTATAACTTTTTAGTAGAATACAATGTTTTCGAGACAAACAGTTGATGAATTTTAAGAAGATAGCTGCTACAAAGCCCGGATGCCTAGGTAAATGAGAAAAAAGTGGGTAAATGGTTCCTATTTGGCCTCTTTCTGGGAGTATACGTATACATTGTCCATACTATATAGCATTTTTCTTCTAAGAAATCAGGGAACAAGTCAATACAAAACAAAAATCAACAATTAGATAATTAATACATTTTATATTTTAAAATGAGTTTTGCAAACGACTGTCCTAACTCCTTAGAGTACTGGTTAAAAAACAACAAACGCATTTACCAAAAAAAAAAAAAAAAATGCCATAAAGTTACTAGTTAGTAATGTGCAATAAGTCAGTAGGTTCAAACTTTCACACTATTATTGCAAAAAATAAATTATGCAAATGAATCGGATATAAGAGGACAGTAAAAAAAAAAAAAAAAGTAAAAGAGGGATTTTAAAGGGCAATAGTAAACATACCACACAGGTACGAGGAGGGGAGAGGACCTTGAAAGAATTGGGGCGATTATTAAAATTAGTTTCAGGAATTCCTGGTATTCCTTCTGGGGATGTGAAGTGGTCTACATCGTGCCCCACCTACGAGTGGAAAATGGTCAACTTTAGCACAAGAGGAAAAAAAAAATGACAAGGATTCAGGAACCATAGAATAATAGCAACTGAGTTGAACTTTTAAAATCAGAGTCATGAGCCAACTGCCCCCTCCCATTTTTTTTCTTTCTCCTCACTTCTTAAAGCCATTTTGTCCATCACTACCATATATGATTTCATTTTCATGTTGGTTCCACCTTTTTTCACTCTAGTTGCTCCCCCCACCCCAATCTCACCGCTGCTCATAAGTGCCAATCAATGCATAATAAATCATTATACTCGTGTGGAACATAAGGTTCGGGGAGCAAAATAAAATTTTAATGGTTTGTATTTATTAAAAAAAAAAAAAAACCTTAATGGAAGCTATTGCAATTTCAAGATATATTTTGGGGAAGAGAGGATGACCCCTCTAGGGCTGAACGTAGATCTACCCCTGATGATACTTATGTTTACTACGAGAGAGATCAGGGCTCCTTACTCTTCCATGTCCACCAAATTCCCAAGCATCACTATCCAGTGCAACTCTATATTTCCCAGGTAAGTCACACCCAACTTTATACCTGTAAGTGCAACGTTTCAGCCAAATCGGTTAACAATAGTTATTACAGCAATATTTATAGAACATCTACTATGCATAAAACCAAATACACAACTTGGCACAAATAAGTTCCCCACACACAAATGAAAATTGAATACATATTCCATACCCTTCATAGGTAGTCTCTGGATGAAAATTGAATACAAATATCAGATCTCCACGCTCAAAGACTATAACCTGTAAAAGAAAAAAGACCATTAGGCATTTAGTTATAACATATCACCGAGTTAAACTTGAAATTAACTCGTAGTAGACAATGACTTGTTAATAGTTTTATTTTCTATAATCACTCATGTTTGAGAAATACCTTCTTCATTACGTTTACAATGCATATATGTATATTTTCTTGCAGGCAGTCCTATCTTAATCAGTCTTAATATAAGACAATCTCTTGGCTTTTTGACCTTTTTACCTTTTATTAATTAATTAATAATTATTTTGTCCCTCGTTTAAAACTATTTACCAATCTACCCCTCTTTAATCGATTAAATGGTCAAAACTGATAAAAATGGTTGATTTGAAGATTTAATCGATTAAATCTTTAACTTAATCGATTAAATCTCCAAAAAGAAACAAAAAGACATTTGAGAGGCTTCATGACATTTGAGAGCCTGCCATTGAATCCGTGCGGTTTCTCTATTAAATGCATAGACGAAGAGGTAAGGTCGAGAGAGGAATCAGTGACTCCCACTCATTATTCTTCTTCTTAGGTACCATGTTTTTTTGCTTTTTCAGAAATTGAAAAGTTATGATATGGTGTATTGAATATAAAGGAAGAGAAGAAAGAGAGAATTGAAACAGACCCTTGTTGTGAGTACGGACATGGAATTGCAATAATGAAAAATTGAAAGGAAAGGGCTTTAGGAGGTGGACAAAAAATTGCAATAATGACATTGTCTGGGCCATAAAACAATTGTAGGAAGCCTCTCAAATGTCTTATTGTTTCTTTTTGAAGATTTAATCGATTAAGTTGAAGATTTAATCGATTAAATCTTCAAATCAACCATTTTTTACAGTTTTGACCATTTAATCGATTAAATCTTTAACTTAATCGATTAAAGAGGGACAGATCGGTAGATAATTTTGAACGAAAGACAAAATGGTTATTAATTAATTAATGAAGGGTAAAAGGGTCAAAAAGCCACAATCTCTTTCTCTTAATTGACTACTATAAAACATCAGATTATGAATGAGTATAGTACAATTATTCGGGGGCATATGCACCTTGTCTTCGTCATTTGTGCTGCTCACAATCTGTTTTGTTGATGCAAGGAACGAGAATTTATCATCAAGCAAGTTCATTGCTCTGTTAAATGCATTCATGAACTGCACAAGTTCCAAAATGTATCTCAAAGACAAGCTACAAAATTGCAAAAATGAAAGAGAAGAAACAGAGCTCTGCAAAACGGGAAAAAAAGGAGCTCCACAAAATCAGATTACATAGGTGCCTTCCGCATCATGCAAAATATGCAAAATGACAATGCCCATCTTTTACCACATTTAAATGACCTTATCTGAAGCCCTAGCACATTATCTGAACACAAAGCTAAACACCAATATTCTGATCCTAATGGAAATTTAAAATTTTATGAATTTCCAAAGTTTCTGAAAATTCAAATGCCAATTACGTGTATGTTGATATCATGTTCTTGTAATCTATTAAAATATGAAAAACGTAAACAAGTAATTCTCATATTGTATCTTACAATTTCTATTTGCTTGGTTTGTTTTAACCTAATTCAACAAGGAATTAGGTTTGTTCATAATTTTAATAATTTCAGTAAGTGGTTAATAATACACAGTCAGATTCAAAAGTGGCTAATCTTGAAAAAATATAGCTTGAATCGTACAGGCGCAACATCAACTTATGGACTGTATTGATGTCAAGTAATTAAACTTGCTGAAAATTCCCCACTTCTCGAGAAATGAAGCCACAAAAAGATGTCAATGTTATGTTTTAAGTGAAAATGTACGGGATCTATAGCCTTTCCCCCACCACAAAACACAAATAAATAAATAAATACTACCTTGTATCTCAAGTGATCTGTATCCAACAGATTCCACTGACGCCTGCACTTGTCATAACTCCATCCATTGCCTTCTCTTGGAAAATCAATCCACTCCGGATGGCCAAACTAAAAATGCCCTCATGATATAAATTAACAAATGATAATACATGGTACAACTATAGCAATGAGAGCGAGATGCATAAACATCTCCAACTTAGAATAAGCTTAAGTGTAATAGAAAATAAATAATATGCAAATAATTCTGTAAGGGGCCAGCTTTTTGCAACCCCCACCCACACACACAAAAAATTAAAAAAAAAAAGTGGAAGCATTCATTTCATTTCTGTGCATGTGAAGTGATGCACTAACAGTTGGCCCATTGCACATGGTCCAATTATTGATTCAGGAAGCTCAGAGTCAACCAGAATTGCGGCCCAAAAAATATGGCCCAATTGTTAAAAGAAGCAGTAATTTGAAATATAACAAATTACAATCAAACCCAAGTCTAAATGAAGCATCATATATGATTGTGATTTGTTTGACAAGAAAAGGAAAGCAACACATTTGGCATGATTTGAGATATAAGATTTGGGAAGTATTTTGAATGATTTAATTGTAATTATTTATTTATTTTTAGAGGTTAGTTGTCGTTATGTTTAATTTAGGAATTTTCCTTATTTTTAAGATTTTAGAATTTTGAATTTTAAATCAATTTGTAATTAGTCTATAAAAGGGTGCTTATGGCCCTTATTTTAGGAGTTGAATTTTGTTATTTTGTTATTTTGTTAATAGAAATTGAGAATCAGAGGATTACTCTTCTTTTGTAAAATTCCAACTTCCTGTTTAGCCACTTTTCTATGCGCTTTCAGCATCATTTGGTATCACAGCCTGGTTGCCTTCAACCAATGGCTGAACAGAATCGTGGAGGTCGACGGCGGCGGGGTCACGAGGGTAGGGAACGTGGATTCGTTTCTGAAGAATATAGACAACTGCGTCAGATTGACCTGCGAGACATAGAAAATGAAGAGCTCGGAAGGCGGATCCAGGATTTGAAGGAACAACTTGAGCAAGCGTTGGACAAGAAAATCCAAGTTTTGAAGCAACTACGTGTGCTGCCACAGAGAAAGAGAATTCAAGATTTGGAGCGACGACTCATGCGGATATGCATGAAAATTCAAATTTTGAAGCAAAATCTTATGGAGGTGCAGAGCATGGAAAGTCAATATTGTCAATATTTGGAGCGGCGGCTTGCGTGGACAAAGTTGGGCATTCAATCCGAAGAAGGAATGGAATTAGATGACGCATCAGATGACGAAGAAGAGGACGTCAATCTCTTGGGGATTATAAACCAGGGAATGAATTGGAAAGTACGACTTGGAAATCAGTCCACTTTTCAAGATATCGAGATGCAAATCAGCATTCCAGTTTTTGAGGATGATCCAATCTATGATGATGAGCCGATCTATGATGATTATCCTATCGTTGATAGTTATCCCATTTATGATGATTATCCATCTTATGATGAAGATTTAGTTTATGATGATAATCCAGTCTATAATAAATCCGATGGTGAATCAGATTATGAAGATCTAATAGAGGAAGATTTATCATTTGAATTTTTGTCTAAAGAAATTCAGATCAGTGGAGATAAACAAGATTCGAGGACGAATCTTTTCCAAGTGGGAGAGAATGATGCACTTACAGTTGGCCCATTGCACATGGCCCAACTATTGATTCATGAAACTCAGAGTCAACCAGAATTGTGGCCCAAAAAATATGGCCCAATTGTTAAAAGAAGAAGTAATTTGAAATATAACAAATAACAATCAAACCCAAGTTTAAATGAAGCATCAGATATGATTGTGATTTGTTTGACAAGAAAAGAAAAGCAACACATTTGGCATGTTTTGAGATATAAGATTTGGGAAGTATTTTGAATGATTTAATTGTAATTATTTATTTATTTTTAGAGGTTAGTTGTACTTGAAAAAGGGTATTCTGATATATTTTAGAATTGTGAAATAATATGATACAAAGAGGTCTCTATTTATAGAGACCAAAAACCCTAATTCTTGACCTAATGGGCTTGGCCCAATACAACAAATACTAATAATAATAAAAGACCTAATATTTACAACACTCCCCCTCAAGCTGAGGAATAGATATTTATCATTCCCAGCTTGCTAGTAAGTTCTTGAAATCTATCTGAAGGAAGTCCCTTTGTCAATAGATCAGCTAATTGACGCCCAGTGGGAATGTATGGAGTGGTAATCAACCCGCTATCAAGTTTCTCTTTGATGAAATGGCGGTCGACCTCAATATGTTTAGTCCGATCATGTTGAACTGGATTATGAGCTATACAAATAACGGACTTATTATCACATAGCAGCTTCATAGGTCCCTCACATTTTATTTTGAGATCATCAAGTACAATTTTCAGCCACAGTAACTCACAAATGCCTTGAGCCATAGCTCGAAATTCAGCTTCTGCACTTGATCTGGCAACCACATCTTGTTTCTTACTTCTCCATGTCACCAAGTTACCGCAAAGAAACATGCAATAACCAGTGGTAGAACGACGGTCAGTCACGGATCCAGCATAATCAGCATCAGTGTAGACTTCTAAAGAGAGATTACCATCACGTCGGAATAACAATCCTTTACCAGGAGTAGCTTTAAGATACTGAAGAATTCTCTCTACTGCCTGCATGTGTTTCTCCTTTGGATCGTGCATAAACTGACTGACAACACTAACAGCATAAGCTAGGTCTGGCCTAGTATGGGCCAGATATATCAATTTTCCAACTAGCCGTTGATATTGTCCTTTATCAACTGGAGGACTCTCCTCTTCAAAGCCTATCTTGTGACTCTGCTCAATAGGAGTATTAGAGGGTTTACACCCGAGCTTCCCTGCTTCTTTGAGAAGATCCAAAACATATTTCCTCTGACTGATAAAAATTCCTTTGCTTGAATGAGCTACTTCTATCCCTAGGAAATATCTTAGTTTCCCAAGGTCTTTGACTTCGAACTCAGAGGCAAGTCGTGTCTGCAGAATCTGTCTCTCCACAAAATCATCACCTGTGATAATAATATCATCAACATATACAAGGAGCACAGTAAGCTTCCCATTTTGGGAGTGCTTGAAGAAAAGAGTGTGATCTCTTTGACTCTGTCTATATCCTAAGGTCATCATAACCTTAGTAAACCTTCCAAACCAAGCACGAGGTGACTGTTTCAATACATACAAGGCCTTTTTTAATCGACAAACTTTATTTTCCCCCTTCACAGAATCAAAACCAGGCGGAATTTCCATGTAGACTTCTTCTTCTAACTCACCATTGAGGAAAGCATTTTTCACATCAAATTGATTTATATCCCAATTGTAATGGGCAGCAAGGGACAACAAGATTCTCACTGTATTCATCTTTGCAACTGGAGCAAAGGTTTCTTCATAATCAATGCCATAGGTTTGAGTGTAACCTTTGGAGACTAATCGAGCCTTGTATCTCTCAAGAGTGCCATCAGAATTATATTTCAGGGCATAAACCCATCTGCACCCTACTGCTTTCTTTCCGTTGGGTCTATCAATAACCTCCCATGTTTTATTTTTCTCCAACGCATTCATCTCCTCTTGCATGGCTTGAGCCCAATTCCCATCTTTCAAAGCTTCATGTACTGATTTTGGAATTGAAGTAGAATCTAGTGCTGAAACAAAGCTTTTGTGCTGCACAGAAAGATTAGCAGAGGAAACAAAATGGGAGATAGGGTATTGAGTACAAGAGGGACAGGAAGAACAAGTTTTCTTGGAACAAGATCTTTTTCCTTTTCTTAAAGCAATGGGTAAATCATCTGAAGCAGTAGTAATGGGTAAGTCATCAGAAACAGTAGTAATGGGTAAGTCATCAGACGTATTAACATCATGATCAGAAATATGAGATTCAGGATTTACCAGTGGTTCAGACGATTGAGGTTGCTGTTGAGGCAATGTGGGCTGTTTCCTTCTTTGATATACCAATTCAGGTGTCACAATCTTCCGTATCTCTGGTGTATTTGATGTATCAGTCATAGGAGGATCAGTCACAGGAGGATCAGACATAGACACATTAGGAACAGGAACAAGAGGAAGAGACACTGACACAGGTGAAAAAGTAGACACATTAGGAACAGGAACAAGAGGAAGAGACACTGACACAGGTGAAGAAGTAGACACTGAAGATTCAAAGAAGGAAGGTGATGAGTCTTCTGGTGAATTATTCTCCCCCTGAAGATGAGGACCTTGGAAAAAGGACTCAGATTCCTGAAATGTAACATCCATAGAAACAAAAAATTTCCGACTTCCAGGGTGATAGCACTTGTAGCCCTTCTTATCAGGAGCATAACCAAGGAAGACACATTTAAGAGCCCTAGGATCCAACTTACTGCGATGCTGTTTATGAATATGAACAAAGACAACACACCCAAACACTCGAGGAGGAAGACTTTGCAAAGTTGGAACAGAAGGAAAAAAAGAAGTCATGGAGTGAATAGGACTTACATGATCGAGAACCCGAGTGGGTAGACGATTGATCAAGAACGCTGCAGTAAGAATGGCATCTCCCCAATAGCATTTGGGTACATGTGTTTGAAACAGTAAGGCACGAGCAACTTCAAGAAGGTGACGATTTTTCCTTTCAGCAACCCCATTTTGTTGAGGGGTGTCTACACAAGTAAGTTCATGAATCATACCTTGATTTTGTATAAATTGGGAAAAAGAGTGATTGACATATTCAGTACCATTATCTATCCTTAGTCTTTTGATATTTTTACAAAATTGAGTCTCAATCATTTTATAAAATTGAAAGAACAGTTGTGGTACCTCAGACTTTTCACGCATTAAGTAAACCCAAGTGACACGAGTGTAATCATCAATAAAAGAAACAAACCATTTATTTCCAGAAGAATGAGGGACCTTAGAAGGACCCCAAACATCAGAATGAATAAGATCAAAAGGTTCAACACTCTTAGTAATACTAGAAGGAAAAGACACACGATGATGCTTAGCAAATTCACAAACATCACAATGAAAAGACTCAACAGACTTAGACAAAAACAATGACGGGAATAAAGATTTGAGTAAACTAAATGGA